CTGTTCCGAGTTGTTGAGAAGGGGAGGTTGTTGGGGATGTATGGTTTATTACCTTTCGTTAGAGGTGAAAGATGGATGACGATTCAGGACACCTTAGATGGCACCTTTCGCGGTGCCCGGCCTGCCGTAAGAAGCAAACGCGCCGTGTCAATCGTCTCCCGTTCCAGCAGCTGGGAAACGCCTGTACCTGTGCGTTGCTGGCGTGGTGTTCCCCTCTAACCCTCCATTCCCTAACCCCCGGCATCCGCGCATCGCTTTCAATTAACGTCTCCCTGCCTACCAATCGTTGTTGGTGGTGGTGTTGCGGCATGATGCACAGAGACATTAGAAAAGCTCTGGCAGCCTTGGCGCGAGAGCTGAACGTGTCGGAGGGAAAGCGGCTGGAGGTGGAGGAGGCGTTGCGATCTGCGGGTGGTGGGGTTGGCATCAACGAGGCAAGGAGTCTACATTTTCCCCCTATTCGCATGCCACCGCCTTTTGGATTTTTGTGGACGTTGTGCTCTCGTTGTCTCTCTATCTCTCTTTGTCTCTCTATCTCTGTAGCTCTAGCTCTTTTTTCTGGCTCTCTCTCGTTCTATTTATCTCTATCTGCACTTGGATATCTTTCTTTTCTCTGTGTCTCCTTTCCCACCTGTGCAATCTGTCTGTTCGTGCATACGTGTGGGAACAAAATCGTAGCTACAGCTACCGGAAGAATCCATCTGAAGACAAGAAACAGAAGATTGTGGAAGAAATCCATTTGTTGTGTTGTTGCAATAAAAAGAGCACAAGCAAGAAACCTTAAAAGTATTCGTTTGAAGCCGCTAAATTCGACGGTTTTGCGTCGTGGGCTTCACCACCAATGCGAGACACAGGGATCCACCGCACGCCCATCGTATTGACCGTACACTTTCGCAGACAGCGGTTTCTTTCAGTCTCGAACCATAGAAAAACGAAACGAAAGCAAGTCGTCGGCAAAACCTAAACCAAGAAAATGAGAAAAACCACAATGAAGGATATCGATCTGCGGACGGTAACCTCTTTTTTGTCGGGGGTGGTCGCGAAAATCACGTCGCAGTTGGAGGAGTCAGCGGACGTGCTGCGGCGGCGCGTGGAGTCGCTGGAGGCGGAGGCGTCTGCGAAGCCAGCCGTCGACCTCGAGGCCTTTGCCGCGCTGGGGGAAGAGATGAAGGCAGCAACGGCGGTTGGGGCTCGTCTACGCGAGCAGGTGCCGACCGGGAGAGTCGTGTTTTCTTGGCTTTCTAGTTCTTGTTGGAAGCAGAACCCACGCCCCCCAAGGTACACTTGGTGATGTGCTAGCCTGGTCCGGTGAAATCCCGGCGTGCTCCGTCCCGGCTTGGTATGGATGCGGGGTAACTTTCTAACGACGACGGCATGCACGGCGGTGAGCATCCCCCCCAGGGTATTCGCTACTTGTTCTGTTGAAGCTGTGGCTCAGATGTATTCGGTGCGCCTCGGGAATAGAGTGGAGGAGGGTCGATCATCTCCGATTTTTTTTTGTCGGTACAGTAAAGGTGGCGGGGCTGCTAGTAGTGATTGCGGTAGCGGGGGTGGGGTGAGCTTTTCTTTGCGCGTACTGCTGGTTGTGGCTGCTCGATGACTACCTGGTTCTCTAAGTCGTTTCCTGATTGATTGGTGGTACCGCGACAGTAGTGTTATCAGTCGTTGGGTAGATTATCCACGATCGCACAGCATCTCTCTTGCGCCAGGGAGGCCGCTAGTGGTGCGAGCAGCTCTTTTCCATGCCTTATATTCCTGTCCTAGGTGCCGCCTTGTATCGTGGTAGTTGCTGTCAATTGCCGTTAGGTGCGACACACACACACAAACACGCTGCCACGCCCTGGTTCTTGGGGCACTAGTCGAGCGGGCCAACCAAGCGCTGCGTGAAACCTCTCGCAATCTCCCTTCAACAACGGTCGTTTCGGTCTCGCTCGCAGCCGATGACACATACTCCGTTTCATCCCCGAAAATAACCCTTGCGAGACGTGCACACGACACTGGTGCTGGTGGTGGTGGTCTCCAGCACTCGACATACCCCCCCCCCCCCCCCACCCCCCTCACTGTTTTCGTGCGCCGTTACGGACCCCCCTCTGTTGGGGTTTACCGATTGTAAGGTGGGACGCCTGGAGGAGGCGTTGTCCGCGGCAAGAAGAGAGGTTGCCGAGGCCTCCGCGGCAAGCGAACGGGCTACAGCGGGAAGGGACGAGGCGGAGGCACGGATCGTGCGGTTGGATGCCGCCAAGCTGGAGACTGCGAGAGAGGTATGATGTGCATGTGCAAACGGGTTTTGTCAGCCAGCAGTGCTTCTTTGGTTTGGCTGGTACTGTACCCGGGTGGTCTCTAGACTGTCCTCTGCTGTTTTTTCAAGAACTAAGCACAGTCTCATATGTCACCTCTCATCTCTCTCTCTATCTCTCTCCCTCTCTCTCTCTTTTTCTCTCTCTCCCTCTCTCCCTCTCTCCCTCTCCTTCTCTCTCTTTCTCTCTCTCTTCCCCCTTATGCCTCTTTCTCTGTTGCCGCTCCAACCAACCCACATTCCACACTCCCCCCAGGTAGAACAACTCAAAGCCTTCGCAATTCGCGCCAACCTCGAACGAGACGAGTGCCTGGAAAGAGAGAGGGCGGTAGCGAGACAGCGAGTGGACCAAACCCTTAATGAAACCGCCGTCATCGGGGGCGGGACCACCGACCAGGACCTCCTACACACGCCTCCCCCAGCAGTAGCAACTCCGACGACGCGCGGGAGGCGCCTAGACGCCCGGGGTCCCCCGCTGGTGAGGAGAAGACGTTATTGTAGCGCCTTGTGTGGTACCGCTTGCCAGCCCCCGATTCGTGCTTACACATGTCGGAATTTGCCAGGGTAGCAGTCAGGGTTAGGCCTAGCCATTCCCAATTTTTTTCTCGCAATAGGGTGTCTCGATTCGGGAAGGAACGTGATGGTGATAGGGTGGAACCAACGGGAATAGAGGCCGACGGGTAGACAGGAGAAACGTCTTCGGATTCTGCCTGGCTCGTCTCTCACAGTTCTTTCTCGCCTCTTTCGAAGTTTCATCGCTTTCTCTCTTTGGTATCTTGCCCTGATCCTCGATCGCCCTACCCCTTCTCTTCAGCAGTTCGTCCGTCTGCTCTGATACGCACCTACCAATATCTTCCGTGCTCAACAACCATAGCGCGTGCGTACTCTGTATCGTGCGATCTGTGCCGACGCAAGCACAAGGCAGGCGCTGGCTGAGCTGAGCTCAGGCACCCGCCAACGGGTGCTTCCGTCGATATTATCAGAGCGGCGGGCTAATGCGCTGAACGCTATAGAAGCCAAAATCAACCCATTATGCTAGTCAGCGTTGACTAGTCTAACGGTTTGATTTTGGCTTCTATAAAAGTTTGTCGTGGGTTTGAGAGGTTTGATTTTGGCGTCTATAACGCCTCGCACAGACCCTAACCTCGCTGGAAACATTGCGGAACGAAAAGCGGGGTTCTGCAAACATTTGAGCTAACTCCGAGGTTGCCGTTCCTTGCTTTTATTTTCGGTTCCCACCGTCCGCCGTTCGTTTTGATGCCTTGCCGCCTAGGGATCGGGCGGCGGACGGGAAGGAGCGCCGGCAAGCGCAAGGGACGGCAGTGTGTCACCCCCGCTATCCGCACGCCGCCAGAGGAGGTCTTTGGACGAGGATCATGTTGAGGTGAGGTGGACGAGAGTCCGAACCGGTGAAACCCGGGGCCAGCCTCGTGCAGCTAAAAAAAGGTACAAATGACGAAAACGTGTTTAAAGAACGAGAGAGGGAGAGAAGGAGGGAGGGGGACAGAACAGGTGGGGTGGAACTCAGGACGCACGTGTGTGTGTATCACAGGCTGGTTCCAGAACTCAACCATTGTGGAGTAGATGTTCCATTCTTGTGTGTCGATTTCGTGTCTGGCGTTGCGGGGAGCGTTTGTCTGAAGTGAGGCAGCCATGTCGGAGGAAGTTTTCTGTTTGACGCAAGATCGATGCTCTCCGGTTGAGAGAGGCAACGCCGCAGGAGTGATGGTCTTGTGCCAGGTGGGAGTCTGGTGTGCTGCATACCCCCACGGCCTCTCACCTATCTGGTCCCAGTGGGATACTGAGGACCCCGCACTTCCGGTGACATACCCGGTGTTCTCTTCCTCTTTCCTTTTGGTTGTTCACGTCAGTCGGCGATGCCGTAGCCGCCCCCTTCCACCAAAAGACAGCAATTTTCAAGTTGGTGGTAACCTTCGATCTTTGGCTACCTTTCGCGCCACCGAGACTTGAGCTCCGTCGCGTGCGTGTGGTGTGCATGTGTGCATTCTGCCGGCCCCTTGATGTCCACCCGTTTGCTCAGTCTCTCGTTGTCCGCCTCTCTGCATCATCGTGTTCCCGTATTGTTGTGGTACACAGCAGTGGGATCACCGAGCACACGCAGATGAGCAGCAGCGGCAGCACCAACAGGAACAGCTGCAAATGCGGCAGAGATTGGTGCAGAGCCAGGAGGAGCTGAGGTGCTGCCGGAAAGAGGAAGAGCGCTCGCGGGCAAGGTGTGTCCTGAAATATGTCACTAGCCGAGGAAGCCCCAGGTTGGTGCCCTCGTGAAGGGCGGTACACGCGGGGTCCTGCTCCTACAAGCTTTCATGAAATAGCTGCGAATCCACACGTTCGCCACTAAGCCCGGCTTGCTCGTTAGCCTGCCTGCGCTGACTTGTTGTGTAGCAGTGCTGGCGTTTAACGGCCGGAAGGTCCAGTGTGCTGCACCATGCCTGCGGGCAGGCACGGCCGTCTCGCTAGACTGCACTCGTGCAAGCTTACCCAGGGGATGATGCATTGTTGTCCCCGGCGAGTTGAACTCCTCGCATTTTTCACACCGCGTCTGAATGGGTAACGCACATGTACGCATGGCCATCTCACGCAACACGCACACACCCCGTCGTGGATAACGGCCCGAAGATTGTAATTTGTCGGTCTTGTGGTTCCTGTCGCGCTAGCTCGTTTTTGTTCCTTTTGTTCTTGTTGCTGCTGCTGTTGGTGTTGTTGCGACCGCACACACCCAGTCCCTCATGTTGTTTCCATCCTGATCGCCACGTCTCCACACACCTCTGCATGCTAGCTCCTGCCTGCTCCATCACTCCCGCCCTCGTGCCTGTGCCTTTCCCTCCACCTCTTCTTTCCGCTTGAATAAATTGAAGGTGTTCCCAACTGGAAACGCGGTTGGCTGAAGCTCGAGATTGCCTGGAGGAGCAAAAAAGCGTGACGGCATCAATGAGACGCGCTGCTGCGAGAGCTCATGACGATGCCGAAGCCGCGCGTAAGCAGGTGGGAGACGGAACAATACATATTTGTTGTTGTTGTTGTTGTTGTTGTTGTTGTTGTTGTTGTTGTTGGGGTTACTGTTGTCGTGGTCATGATTGCTTTCGTTGCTGTCGGCGTAGCAACGGTTGTGGTCAACAGTCAACAGCATTCGTTGCAGATGGCGCTGTTGGTGCTTCTGCTGCCGCTTGCTGCTTTCCGATAAAACGAGCCCAACAACAAGAAGAATCCTATTGGACCTCCTGTTCTTGGAAGGTGGAGGACACCAAGGCTCTCGTGTCTCGACAAGAGTTCCAGTGCCGGCGACAGGTGTCCCTCCTAGAGGCACGCCTTCTGGAAACCGGGGCCCGAAACTCCCGCCGGAGAGACTTGCTGCAGCTCCAGGTGAGCCGTTGGTGTTGCGCGCCCGTCGCGCCCATGGGGGTGGGGGGGCATGTCCAAATGGAGTGCGGCATGGGGAAGAAGGAGAAAGGGCGCGCGAGAGGATGCTACAGCAGTAGTGTTGACTTTTCCTTGGATTGATCTACATTGTAGGGGTGTGTGTTTTGAGGCGGACCCCAAATTGTTGGTCGCCAGCAATTTTTTAACCGAGATGTTGCGGTTACCGAGATTCTGGGCTATAAGAGTGAAGCACCCCGGGAGTTTTGGTGACGTTTCTTGGCGCGACGTACCCATCAAGTTATCACGACACATTGGGTTCAAGGCATTCGCGGGCTTCGGTTTTGATGTCTTGGCATGGCCTGTGCAACATCGATGTGACAACGCAGGCATGTGCCCAGGAGGATCTGGTGAAGGCGCTGAGGGACCCCGTACTGCCCTCCACTTGCGGCGACACAGTCGTCAGCGACGTGTCGGATCACAGCCTCCGCGCGGAGGAGGTTGAGAGACCCGCCGCCGCGGCTGCGTCCGCCTCCGACGAATGGCAGATCAGCCGGTAGCGGTTTCGACGGCGCGGGATGTGGGTTCTGCTGCGCTTCGGACTTGCCCGGCTCGGGAAAAGGCCGCCGCAGGAAGATGTAAGGTGGTTACGCCAATGATGGCGGCGAAACGAAGGACGCAAACGAAAACTAACCACGACTGCTTTTTGGCGACGGCGAGGATTGGTGGCGTATTCCCACGCATCTGGCGGATGCTATTTGTTTGGTGACGGCGTCGTTTGGTGTGTCCACGGTTTTGCGTCGAGGATACGGTAGGTGGATTGAGCTTCACCACCCTTCTTCCCGTAGTCGTGGCTTTTTCCGTGGTGCTCGTGGCCTCCCCCTTTTCCGCGAAATAGCCGGTGGGCTGACGGAGTTGTTCAAAGGTGGAAGTTGCGACGATCTGCTTAATGGGCTACCTACTCCATTTACCCGAAGCAGTCAGCCATCTTCAATCGCATTGAACGATGCTTGTCGTGCCCCCCCGGGGCAGTCGGATCATCGTGGCGCACCTCCTTCGCCGGAGGTTGGGCAACTCCCTTCGCACAGGAACCCATTATCTCGAATGCATGTACAGTTCTGGTAGCACACTCGCGCGAGGTTGACAGGCGCCTCCCCGTTTTTGTAGAGAATAGTGGACACGAAGATTGTGTGTTGGGGTAACGATGTATGTATGTAGTTCGGCGATTTGTCTTGCACAAACATGCGCGGGTAAATGCTCCTGGTTTAAATACTGTAGCACGAGCATTTTTCGTGTATGTCCACGAACTGCTGTTTGTAGCCCCCAGACTCTTTTGTCCTGTGAATGCTCTGGCTCGTGTTCTTACCGTAAGCATGCGAGAGAACCCACGGTTCGTTCGGTGAAATCGCACGTACCGGTGACGTCGCCACCCCGTGCGACAAAAAACGAAAGGACGAGATAATTTTTTTCGTTTGATTGTAGAAAGGGGATCCTTGATATCGCGCCCGGGTGGTTATGGGACGCTCACCGCGCGGGAGGTACCTCGCGGTTTCACCGCGTGAAAACGTATCGCGGTATTGCGTACGACGGCCGTGACAATGTTGGGTATTGCACGTATCGGAGTTTTTCGCACGGGGATGTGCGTCGAAAATATTCAGTACATCTGCTGCAGGGGGGTATACTTCACTCAATGACAAGCGTATCGGGGTTGTCGCAGCCCCCGTGCGAATACATGTTCAGGGTCGAAATCATTGACTTCGATTATCGCACGGGGGTCGGTCATACTTCGCACGTGCCACATCACATCGCATCCCCGCCCGATAAAAAGTCAAGAACGGAATCATTTTAAGTCGATCGCACCCTCGTGCTTATTTTTCATGCCATCAGTAGAAGACAGTCAGGCAGGGGGGTTTCGAATTGGGCGTACCGTCTGCGCCATCGGGAGAAGGACATTTAACTATATTGGACATCAATGCATATAGTTTGGCCTAGAGAGTAGACAAATAGCCGTACTACCGTAACGTCCCGGCACGGATCGGCTGCTCCGCACAGGCCGGGGTCTTACATTAGCACAGGGGGTGCGGAAAAACATCGGGTTTCTCACGCGAACCTCTGAATCGAGAGGCGATTTTTTCTTCGTAGCGCCTCGCCGTCGGTATTTGGCGACATTTTTTTGCCTTAGAAATAAATGGGCCTAGGCATTGCTAGGCATGACGTCGGTCTTTGGCGAAACGTTTGAAAAGGGGCGCCGCAGACATACACATCACTGTCGACTCGGCAACACACAGCCCACACAGAGCCCACACAGTACGCAGCACGCAGCACACAGAGGAGGAGGGGGTTGTGGGACATGGAGGCAACATCTGCGCCATTGTTGTTGTTGCTGCTGCTGCTGTTCCTCCAGTTGACGGCACGGAAGCTGTAGAAAAAAAATGAACAGCTGGCCGCCGAAGCGGCAACCTTTTTGTTCATGGTCACCAGACTCTAACCCAACGCACAGTAACAAGAGAGGAGAGGCTAACATTCTGGTGCAGTAGCACTGTGCATCACTCATCATTTCTACATCCTTGCTGTTGGTGGTGATTCTTGTTCATGTGGCTGGTGTGGAAGGACTGCTGCGCAGATAGAAAGAGATGCGCTTTCTCTTTGTGCTTCTCGTCGGGATTTCGCGGACATGTACCGCAGCAGGACGGCAAGGGATCTTCATCTCATTGCACGCATCACAAGCCCGGGCCTATGGCATTACACATCTATAGACTACAGCATGACTCGTATTCTTCCTGCTGTTGTTGTGTATGGTGGCGTGGTGCGGCATGACTGCACAGAGTGGAAGCGAGAACCCGACGCCGTTGGGAATTATGCACGGGCGCGGCGACGACAGGACATCGTATCTTTGTACACCACACAAGCAAGCGCGGATCTCATCGATCTCATGGCAGCATTGCCTCAATGTACACGTTTGCTGCTACAACCACCGCTGTTGCTGCTGCCCTTGGCTACAGACAAAATGACAGCGTACCCAACGTGTTGCTAGTATGTGTGCGTGTGAGCACACACCTTTTTTGTCGGGGAAATTCCGGCAGTTAATTCTTAATTCGCCACGTCGGGTTATTTTGTGTTTTTTCGCCGCATTGTTTTTCGCCGCATTTTTCGAGTCATCGCACGGGGGTGTGCGCGTGTGCGATATATTTTCTGCACCAGGTTTCGGGTACATGGCCCGTGCCGACGTCTCGCACCCCTGTGCGATAAACAAACTGAGAACGAGAACATAAATGAAGACGACCGCCCAGTCGTATCACCAACCTTTGCTCCCCCTGCTTCAAAAAAGAGACAACGTTTGGTACCCCGCACAGTAGGCACATGCAGCAAAAAAGTAGAACTTCGAAAGCAATTTCATCGTTGCACCCGCGAGTGGCAAGATCAAATCTGTGTCGACGATAGTCATGCTCATCTCTTTTGAGGTGGAGGGGGGCTTCAATGCGAGGGGATCGCGGAAAGAGCTTGGCCTTGAGAACGTCAGAACAGCAAACAGAAGAAGTAGTCTGGACGGTGACAACGTGACAACGCTGGCAGCTGCGCCGTCCCTAACCGAAAAATGGAACTCAGCGAAGAAGAGGTGACGGCGTCGAGAAGAAGAGTGGACAGACACCCTGGTTCATGGACCAAGCTGAGCCTGTTGTGCTAGACGCACCAAGGAAAAATGTATGTAACTAACTGCCTTGGACCCTCTCTACCTTGAGGCAGTGTACCCGGCACACCCAAATACCGACTAAAGATCCGAATACACACGTATGCACGGGCCGATCCTCAGATCCTTCCGGACCGTGGGACTGTTCATTTGAGCCAGTAGGAGCGCACGACGGATGGGTGCGCTCTGCCGATCTTACACACAATATCGCCAAACCTGCACCGTTTTCCCGCGTGTTCCTTCTCGCTCTCATCTGTCGCTTCTCTCTCTTCCTCTCTTGTTTGCCGCCTGCCTCTCTGCTTACGCAGAGAGTCAACTGGCTCTGTACCGTGGGACAAAAACGTCGAGAACCACCGCAGTGCTACTCCGTGTCCTCCCGACACAGCATTCGCAGCTACCAAGAGAGAGCCACCAACCATGGATGCCTCAACAATCTCACCATCATTGAGCCAAGGGGACAACAACCAAGAAAGGAATCGCCTGCAGCCAAACCTGAGCAGAATGCGGAGGAGCTGCTCGGAATGCGGACGGAAAAAGAGGAGTTGTGATGGTCAACGGCCGTGTGGGTGAGATCTGTCGCCCGTACCCAATGTGTTTCACATGTGCACAGACATGCTGTGCATTTTGGGTCCAACCACTCGTTCGACAGCAACGGTTGGCCACCCCCCCCGTGGTCTGAGGCATTGTTCTACAAATTCCTGCGCTGTAGAAGAGCCCCTTGATGAGAACGGAACAAGAACATAGGTAGATCTCATCCATATCCTTAAGCTTTCGTGGTACGTGTCACGATTTGATCCACCGCCGCGGCGGGCGTGTTGGTTTCTGTCTTTGGTGGAAGTTGTGCCGAGTGTTGGCGGCATTCGCCGGTCGATCGCACTTGATTATTTGCCAGGAGGCATCATTCCCACCACCATTTTGAAAAGGTGTATGGCTTGTACCGCTCGTACAACACGCGACAGCCGTATCTTTAGAGGAATGATCGCTGGGTACAGTTTGACAAACATGTGGTTGCTGTTGCATCGGGGGGGGCTCTGTGGTTGTGGCTTCTTCGCGTGGAAAAATCGAAAAATCTCTCCCCACCAGCCGCCCTCAAGGAATCCAATACCAAGCTTACATGGCCAACAGATTGTGCCTCAAGCAACCCAAAACATATGCTTAGGGTGTGTAGCACGAAGTTGGCCATTCCTTCCGTTGATAGTCTCGCAAAGGCGCGAAAATGTTCGGGGTGATCGCACACCGTCACGACGGACCGACGTCCAAAGTTCGACTGCTGTATACAACTCCACCCTGCAGGACGCGAAAACCCACCGAACCGTGCAAGAATAACTCATGCCGTAAACCCTTTGGGTCTAGGAAAAAGGGAGGAGAGAGCGCGGGAGAGAGAGACAGAAGTGCAGCAGAAAGACACAGAGTGCACTTCTGTAGACGCAACAGCTATCTCCACCCTATAGGCCACGAGGGCAGCCCGCGACAGGATGGTGGGCACAGACAGGGTGGCCATGCACAAGAGTTGATACGTGGTCGCGGTGCGGCCGGTAAGGCAGGGTAAGCTTGTAGACCTAGAAAAGATCAGTCGTTAAGCCGCCTAAACTACTCTATTTTCAGTATATTCAAATAATGAGTGAAAATGGTCAGTGAGAGGGCTTGTAGATCCATAGCTGGTTCGTGTACTTCTGTACCTATACTTCTCTGTCCCCTCCCCAATGTGAGCCCTGCCGGCTCACTACAGCTCCTGTGATTCCCACAATTCCCACAAGCACGCAGGCACACCAGCACACACCTACCTTAACTTCAGTAGCTCTCTAGGTTCGGGTGAGGGTTTCGTCGGGCTATGATGATAGTGTATGTGTTACTACTGTATCTTGGACTCGTCTATACCTCTGCTGCTGTGTACATGAGTATAGTTACTGACACGATGACTGCTGGATCTTGGGAGTGTACGGTTTTCAAATTTGGAGAATATGCAGCATACCACGATGTCCTGGTTTGGTCGGCGATATCCTGGCCTGGTTGGGCTTGAAAAGCCCCTTTTTGCTTCCCTCCTGTCTTTGCGTTAGTGGCTTCCTAGATTCAGGCGAGGGCATGTATGTGGAGCTACTAATGCGTGTCTGTGTGAAAGGATATGGGAGGAGATTCATGGTGGCATTCGTATTTAGCGCATTGTGCATTTTCGAATTTTGGCCGTTCCAGGTAGGACCTGGATTTTACCCGCTGGCACTACGTCTTTTCATTATTCACCGGGTAGAGCGGTCGATGTCAATATAAAGACACACCAATAGCGTATCTATGTACTTGCCAACTCCATGGCATGCCACAACACCAGCATTTGCATATGATCAATCAATGATCTGTCACGCCTGTAGACCCAAAAGGGTTAGGGGATTTTCCACCACCATACTTCGGCCCTGGTATCCTCTTGATTGTGAAGCAATCGAGCCGTGAAATTCGGTCTAGGCGTTGTGCAAGTGTTACCGTACAACAGTACGTGTAAGACGAAGAGTATTCTTCAACGAGGATTCTTCAACGAGGACACACCTATCGCACGAAAATTTTGGTGCTGTACGCTGCTGAGCTGACCTATTCTCTCTTGTACAAACGTATTCTGTAGGCGCTGTGTGGCATCAGGCAGTCACTGCACGTACACCGAAAGGCGGCGGCATGGCCACCAACCACGCAGTCAGCAGGATCAGCACCGGTGGCCCTATCGTGATGGTGTGAACGTGAAGGAGGCCCTACTTCACGATACAACCGGCGCACTCATGTCACCTAGCGTGTTGACGCTGAAGAGGTGAAGTGTAATGATGTAGCCTTTGCTGTTGGCTTTGCGCGTTGCTCAGACGAAAACAATTACAATGGCCAACGAATGTTAATGTACAGAAGAGTTTAGGGTTGTTGCCCCTCGCTCAAAAGACCTTGCTTTGTTCATCGAACGACGCCGTGTATGTTGACCATGTCGGTGATTTACATGTGTAGGGTAGACACTGAAGTGACCACGGCTGCACCTACCCCGTGTGTTCCTCTCGACACGGAGCGCGTTTGACATGCATGCAAGGGAACCACGGGAAGTGAATACAAGATCTCACAGCCCCTAAAACGATGAAGGTGTGGTAGAGAAACCCCTCCTCTATCTCTTGTTGAATGGCAGTGGTGCGTACACACGTGAAGCCTATCCACCCCCAAAACCAATGCCCGTGTTTCACTGTGATAGTAGAGCTCTACAAGATTTTATTTTGGTTCTCTACCCACACTTCGATTCTACACAAGAGACCCCTAAACCAAACTGGATCAAGGGCACGAAAAACATGGTCGAGGGGTAGACTGAGCTTTGTATATTTCCCCCCGCATGCTCCCTTCATGTACGCGAGTGGAGCGGGTGGAGCGGGTGACCACGTAAAGTCTCTCTGTCGTGCTGCCTCTAACTTGTGGCGAAATTTATCACCGTGAAATACATTCACATGTGCGTCGTCTCTGACTTTCTCTCTGCGATTGCGTCTCTGTCACTCTGTCTCTCGCAGTCTCTCTCTGTCTCTCTCGCGCCCGCTCTCTCTCCCTATGTCTTTGTCTCTGTCGCTCTCTGTCTCCCTGTCTCCCGCTTCCGTGTGTTTGTACAAAATCGTGTATCTACTAGCCACGGCAGAGTCATGTATTGGGACACAACAATGAACAGTTCTTGGGACGTCTTGGAATTATCAGTGAAACGAGTACAGCGTTTCCCAGATCCAACCGCCGAGCCAAGCGTGAGATCACCCGACTTCTCTCCTGTGGGCGGGGGAGTATGGAAGAGCCGAGATCGAAGAAGCAAGCCAAGCACAGGGCAACCCCCTAATAGATTACAAACACGAAAGTTCCCACCACGGTTGGCATCACCCATGGCGAAAGATGGTCGGCCAGTCACGATGTAGCGGCAGCGATGTCGACCGACATCAAAACAGCTGGCTCATCGCCTCTCGTGCAGGTTGAGATTGCCCGTGTCGTCTTGCTTGCACAAGGTTCGACCTCTCCCCTTCTTCACCCGTGTATTGCCCTATTTTCTGGTGTGTCAGGTGTAACTTGAGTGCTTCTCCGGCAACTGGCCTTGTGGGAATGCAGGAGAACGCCTTCCTCAGCGACTTCTTCGGCTGCAATGGTTTCCTTCCACTCGCTACCCCAAGGTATCCCTTTCAGTCTACCTGGTGCAGAAAATACATTGGACCGTGAACTCTGCCTTCTGCACGAGGCAGTTCCTTCGCGAATTTTCATTTTTATATGTCCTCGAAGCTGCCGCACAGCGCGCGCGTTGACATTCTCGTTCACCAACTTGACGGTTTCTGGTGTTTCTTCTCTCTCTTCACTCCTATTGGACCCCACGCAATCATCCGACCCGTGGCACTTTCGCACCCATCTGTGTTGTTTTTGCCAGTCATATTCGGGAGACGATGGTGAAGATCATGTTACCCCCCGCCTCCTCTCAGCAGCCAGTCCTTGGGGACGACTGTGACGAGGGAGGGCACTACTTCGAAGCAGTCGCTCGGGGGGGTGATCTGAGCAAGACCTCGGCAGGAAACCGGCTGCCTATGGATCCGTCAGCGTGCACGTTCTGGTGTGCAGTTGCTCTCGGGGCGCTCGCAAAGGGCAGCCCGATCGAATCGGTATGAACCGGAGTGTCATGTTTTTTGCGCCGAATATTGAGAACGAATTTGTTTCCCGTACGAATGTTAACGTTCCTTGGGTGTTGTTGACATAACTTCTCTTACCATTGCCAAAGGTTGCCACCGTTGCTTGTTCGTCCGCTTGACAGACCTTCCTCTACTCGTCTGGTGCCTCGCTTCTGCAGGTGACGAGCTATGCCCGGCTGGCACAAGCAGCGCTTGCCAATAGCAACTCCGACCCCGCAGACACCGAGGTCGCAAAGTGAGTCAACCCGGAACAACCTACACTCAAGGAAATGCGCGATATTCGGTCGTGAAGCTTCACCCACGAGTTCCTCTGTGAATATTGTAGGTCTAGGCGACGATGCTTGTGTTCCAGACCAACCCGCGAGGCTTGTCCGATCAACAAGGTTTTTTAATTTTGGCGATTACTCACTTTGATCTTGTTCTGCCTGCCGTCTTGTTTCTGCCCAGGGCATGGGTAATTCTAGCTAACCTGCACGGTTTCATGGGGGACATGGTGAGTGCCTGTTTCGTGCACATGGATGACCTCCGCACTCCCGGCTCTTGCAGGTTGGTAGTGGTTGTCTGTGGCGCCGCGTGAGGACATTGAACAACTTGCAGGTTGCTCGCTCCGATGGCGTGCTTGGAACACATGGAAGAAATGATCCGCTGCAGCTGAGATGTGTTTGCGTGGTGTCCTCCGACGTGCGTTAGCTCGATAACTGCATGGTACATGTTATGTTTCAGGAGGGGTTCGAGAAATACCTGGCTCTTTCGGACTCTTTCGTGACAAGTTCTATCGAGGAAGGGTCCACAGATGCGCTTCCGGTGGTGAGAATTTCGTATCACTCTTTCGGTGGTGAAAACTTCATTCTGTACCGTGGTTCGGGCACTGGTAGTGGTCGGTGTACCAGAGGTGAGCCCGCGTCACGAACTTCTCTGCTGCTGTGCGTGCGATAGATTAATGAGCTGACGAGGACCCCGGCGCTGATTTCGTGGTCTGAACCAATCCATTCACGCAGTTGGTTCCTCCGTGCGAACAATTCCCGCCACAAAACTCCCCGATACAAACAAGCGGGAGTCTTCTCTCCTCCTCGTGCTATGGTTTCAGCAGCTGTTGATATCGCTGCTCTATGTAATATTCCGTGCGGCGGTGTGCTGACCAGGGGTTTGCCGAGATTGTCAAGTTCAAAGAGTTCGCCAACGCTTCCTGTGGAGAGTGGCCGCTGGAGTGTTTTTCTGTCCAAGAAAACAATCCTCCTCCTCAGGTGTGTGAGTCAGTCTCATCGAGGGTCGCGTGACGATGCCCATCCTCCAAACCAGAGTTTGCTAAGCTGGACTCTCGTGATTATTCCGGGGGACACGGATCATCCATCCACTGGACAGCGCCTTTGTGTGTCGTGGAAGCTTTCTTGAGCGTGCTGCGTCGAACGTTGAGATGGCTGTTAACTACTGTAGTTCGATATCAAGCAACACCTTGATGTTTGCCCTTCCCCTTCACTCCTGTTCTGACACGGTGTCCCCAGTTGAGCGTGGTTGCCACCGAAGCCGAGCTGTATCAATACGTCGCTCAATCCTGCAGAGCGTTTGAGAGAGCGGTCTACACGACAGCGACCGAGCAGAGCGCGAGGGGGGGCGACATGTGCGACTCTGAGTCTCATGGCAGGCCAGATGGGGTACGCCCTTCACCACAAGACTTCATGGCTGGGGATCTGTCCAACGCAATGGGGGTGTTGTTGGAGAACGGGAGTTGTATCCATTTTGAACCGCTTGAAGAAGCGGTCGACCGGTGAGTCGGACGACGCAACTACTGTAATGTGCTGGTAAACGCACTCGTGATCGTATTTTGCACTGTAGTGTATTATGGAAAATACTGCATATCGGAAAATGTCTGCGGGCCATCGAGGCCTGAGCGATGCTCGGATCCTTCGTGCGTACTTCCCACACCGACCAGCTCTCACGTTTCCGTTGGACCGCTGCTGTGCGTCTCTATCGCAATCGGCTTGCATGTTGGACTGGGGTGTGGCCTCTCTGGTGCGCAGACCAAGCATTCGTGGGGGAATCGGCGCCCTTCTCATCAATGGGTGAGGAGGAAAAACGTTTGAGGACGCGAACATTGGCGCCCTCGAGTGCCGTTTACAGCTGTGAATCCCCCACGCATTCCTTCGGCCTCGAGTGCCGTTTACAGCTTGAATCCCCCACGCATTCCTTCGGCATTAATCGATTTTGTTTTTCGTCACTTCAATCAGCGCTCACAGCACTAGTGCCTTTTTAATCCAACCCGTGGTCACACAGAAGGTCCCCTCTCTACCCTCCCCTCCTCCGGTACGTTGCCTTCGATTTTTAATGCGAGAATAGTTCAGCACTCTCTTCCCTCTGTGTACACACGAACTAGCGCTATCCACTAGGCCAAGAGCGGAAGCGAAAGAAAATATCACTTTGCAAGAATAGCTCGCTTACGCCGATATTCGAACCGCTGACCTGACCTCTAGAAGGTTTCGAGGATACCAACTTGACCACCGGAGCGACCGGCATGAAACTATGGTACCTGTATTTGATGCCCAGTGAACAGACCGACACCAACCTGGGAGGCCACCCCATTTCTCACGAGTACCCTTTACTTGGTGTATATTGACCGCACGTATTGAAATTTCGGGGAGGCTGATATTTGCTGTTGAACAGGGATTGTTTCTCTCGTGTCCAACAAGACTCCCTCACACACCACTTCATCGCCGCCACGAAAACGCCTCCATCCGACAGAATCCTCGTCTTCGAAAAGGCGGCGAAAGGCGATCTGCGTGCTACCCTGGAGAGGATCGGTCGATGCATCGAGGTTCTTGAGCGATATCCTGGCTTGTGTCGCTGCATGATCGGGTGAGCCGTTCTTGAGCTCGTTCACACTTGTGGAGGTGGTGGTGGTAATGCTGGCTTTCTTCATGGCGTGGGCACCGCCCGCTCCCCTTTTGCAAAGTTATCACTGTTTCACAGATGTGATTTATTCGAAGGTGTGTTCGTTCACTCATTACGATCATGGTAGTGAAACAGATTCCTTAAAAATTGCTCATACGGACCATTTTTCACGGTATGAGTCAGCCGACCACCGTCTGTTCAGTTTTCAGTCGGTGGTTGGCCAGTTTCAGTCGATTCGTGGGTCGTCCTCTCCATCCGCTAGGATACCGTGATCAAATCTTCGTTCGATTATATATCCATACGTTTCCTGGCGCCACCTGCTGTTAAGAGTTGTGACTGTTCTTCTGGATCCATACAGTTGGTAGAACACCACGTGCTGTGAGCTACGATGAAGCGTCATTCTGTTTCCAATTTCCTGTCTCCTTTCTGCCGCTGTGGACGTGTCCACCAAAAGGTGCCACATGACGCACATGATGCTGATATGTCTCGTAGCGGCCGGCGATTCGAGCGCACGAGCGATGTACGACAGGGTTCGGGGGGCGTTTAACTCTCATCGTCCTTCTGGTTACCTGCCTGTGCCCCCTTTCGAGGAGTGGTGCGGAGTGGACGCCTTCTGCGATCATCGTTGCTGCAGGTATGTATGGTCGAGAGCAGGATCCAATGCTGATCAAACTGGTGAGCGGGAAAGAAACAGAGCTGGCTAATCCTTGATAGGTTCGTCGGCAAGTGCTTGTTTCCTTCACGCCTACGGTGACGTGATGCATGCCGTGTACCGCAACTGTGTAAACAATGTGACCACACTTTTCCGACTTGTTTTCGTCGTTCTCGACAGAGCCATTGAGGGCCTTGTCAAGAGCGGAAACATGAGGGCTTTCTCGGCGGCACCCGTTGACGGCATCGATATCTGTGATGAGCGAAGGGGCACGGGTAGCGTCATAGACGACGATGTTCTTCATGGCCACGGACACACCGAGCATGAGATACTGCCGGCCCCCAACAACATTCCTGGAACGATCGTCGGCACTGCCCCCGTGTGGTCTACTAACAGGGGTGCTGAGGGTGACATGAGATCCCTTCCCCCGCCTACACAACCACCGGCTTTTTCTCCGGTATCATCGAGTCATGCGTGCTGTCAGGACGAGCCAATCCGGTGGTTGGCAGAAAGTAGTGAGGCGGATGGAAAGATAGAGCATATGGATGAAGACGACGTTGCCGAAGAAGATTGGCTGGATGCAGCTCGTGCCATATCAGATGCAGAGGAAACCGCGTGACAGAGGAGATGACACGCGACAGCATCCTCTGTGGCGAGGCAGCGCGTCTGACGAAAAGCATATCAGTGGAGGAATCGCAGGCGCACTTTCCTCTCTCAGCGGTGAACTGTGGCGTTTCCGTCGTTCCTGATACGATGGCTTTGAAGTGAAGCGAGAAGTACTGTCACATCCCTTCTCAATGTAGTATTATGCGCAAACGATATCATCAGCAATTCAGACACTGACTCTGTACGGTGACGTTTCGATGTAACAAAGTATACTTTTTGCTGAACTCCACATCTTGCACCCAAATTACGGCAACACTGCTGCTGGGTTTGTGTGCCCCGAGGATCCCATTCCAACTATGTCTGGTGTGTTGGTTTGAAGTGATCCTTACTTCGTCTTGTTTGTGGTAGTTGTTTGGCCTGCAATGCAGTCGGGTGTTTCTAGCGTGGGTGCCCCCCCTCGTACAGCTGTAGATCTTGATTGTTGGAGCATGCACAGGCATTTTGGTATCATCAACTACGTTCAGGGGGGCATAAGTGCCGGAATGTGAGCAGTGGTTTGATCCTGTCCTCGTGCAGGAAGTTGGATGCTGGCAGTATTTTTTTCTCAAGCGCTCCTTCTCATCGATGTTCAACGTCAAGACGGCGTTCGTGTTTCGAAGGCTACGAGATCATCCTGTGTGTATGTCGGGCAGATATGATCTGCCGGGAACCATGCATGGTGTTTTTGGTCCTGCTTTGTGCCTTATCGAGCATCAGCATCGGGTATCGCTCTGAAAAGACGTCGACACACCACATCCTCCGCAACGAACGGGAAGCAAGACCCTCGGTGACGTTCTCGACAAACATGCTGTGGCAGCCGCAGCAAGGACGAAGGGATACAATGTTGTTGCGCGGTTTTTGTCTGGATGTCAAACCAAATATCTGCCAAAACGGTGTTCTTCGGATGGATGTGAGTCATGGGCGCGATTGTCTACGCCATCACAGAAAGTTGGATTTGTTCTCACAATGCACCTGGCCATTGCGGGATATCGGTGTACACGCAGCACAACTTCATCGTCGACAGGGAAAATCATTTTCGCATTGAAAATCAAGGCACGCGCTGTAGAAGGAATGCGGACCAATCTCCTGCGCGACCTCTTCCCAGTCCTGTTAATCAAGGGAAGTTTCGTTGTCCCAAGCTGTACATTCAAAGTGAACCCTACCTGTTGTTGACGAGAAGGTGAACAACAAACCGATAATAGTCCTCCACGTCACGTTTGCCCATAACACTGCTGTGGCCCTTTTGCGAGAGCGTAGCGAAGTGACTCCGGTACGGGGCGAAGGAACGGAGCCCCGGAGAATACAAGACCCGCCGGAATCAAGAATGAAACGGCAAGAGCTTTCTATCACAAGCGACTTGATTCACGAAACAGCATCCATTAGGTCTTGGATTGACGATTGACACGAGTCAAGCCAAGCTTTTTTTAACTGAGATGTTGTACACTAGCCTTTGTCCTTGTTTTGAGTTAAGCGAAATTATTGGCAGAATGAACTTTTCGCGTTGTCCGTTGCGAGGGACATACCTCGTTGAGGTCGAGGGGGACCGCCTGGTGTAGGACTTCAATTGTCGTACCCCCGATCCTCGGATAACACGATGAGGGTTTGAGGTCAAAGGAGGTAAACGAACAACTTCAGCTTGTCTGCTGAAAATTCACCAAAATAACCCTCCGGCGTGAGCTGATGGCCGGCGTGGAACTGAACTCTATAGGTTGCAGGGTACTATCCAACTGAGCTGATGACAAGTCGCAGATTGTAGTGTACTTTTTCAACAATCTCACATTTCCAAAATATGGGACTTTGCCTTCGAGACGGCAGAACCCAGTCAGTGTTTCACTGGTTGTCTGGGACCGTCATTTGCTTTCGGGGTTGCACTGAGTATCTGGGACGGTCTAGTGTTTTTGGCGTTTGGACTCTTGAAACCCGGGGAAACGAGTTCACTGTCCGCAATAGCTGGTTCAACAGCAAATTTCCATCTGCGTTGGCGATATCCTCGCGTGTGTTGAATGAGCTTGTGTACCATTTGTATTGAAACCTCGGAGACAAGGTGGCGGGAAAGTGAGTGAGCATGCTGCGCTAAGGCGAGTTGCGCTGCGAGACAAAGGCGTCTGCCTGTCGCTGACTTCAGGTGCAAATGCATCAAACTCAAGTCAGCGGTAAATGTAGTTGTTGGACAAAGGTAGACAGTCACCGTGAGAAAGGATGGATGAGTGCGGCAAGAAAGTTTCGAACCTGCCGCATCTGCCACGACGAGTTCTCTACGATGGTGCTGCACAGCGTGGTTTGTGAAGTTTATTCAGGCACTCCAAATGGACGCATTATCTGCGCCCGCAGGGTGAAATTTTATGTTGTAAGAAAACATATACTTCATATCGTATTACGTGTTTCTTGCGCAAACATACCATTTTGAAAATTTGTCTGTCAACAGTGAAAACTGGTGACGAACGCAACCCGGCTCGCATGCTGCGGTGAGGAGGTGTTGATCCTCACTCAGAACGGGTGTTCGTTTCGAGCGGGTCTACTGTATACTCTGGATGGACGTCTCTGTCTACAGAACGAATAGATGCGCGGTATAGGAATGGTTATTCGGTCAGCTTCCCTGTACATATGGCTGAAGGCTTTACATAGTTGGCCTGATCGTGACAGCCTAAGAGAGACGATGCTGTGATGGCGCCTATCAACTATCCACCAACTTCGCCAAGACGTAAGATCCAGAGTCGGAATGGGAGAATCCATCCCCAATCACAGGAGGACAAGAAAACTCCGAAAACATTTGATCACATATTCGAGAGCGCTCAAGTAGTGGTGGTTTCTCCGCTTGGCGATTGATTGTCGACCCATCTCGAAAAGGATGTCTAGTCAAGGGTAAACATGACTATTGGTGGCGAGCAATCATTCCCCTCTGTAAGGGGAAACTGACTGGCGAACAATCGTTCTCCTCTGTGATGGACAACGAGCGTGCAGAATAACCTAGGGTTGGGCGGGGCCAAAAAACAAGCAAACCGGGAAGCGAAGTCCTCTACAAAAATTGACATAGCCGCCACCTCCAACTACAAGAACGCACACCTCATGAAAGTCACTCCCGCGCGCTACTACGATGCTCTTCTACGACTTCGATCGGTGCGGGAAGTCAGCTCTTGTTCTTGAGTACGGAAGATACATGTGCTGATTCCATGGGTGGTGATCGACCGCCGAACGGGGCCGCGGCGGCGCGTCGTAAGCCGGACTTGGCCCTGTCTTTTTCTCTAGCGTCAGAGCCTGCTGATGCGAAACAGTCTGATGCGCGGATGAAGAAGAAAGAGAGTGAGGGAAGGATGTCGCTCAGCCGAGCGCCGCCGTGACTGGCTGGTCGGGGCACTTTTTTTGTACCCTTGCTTTGGAAGACTCGGAGGCTTGCATGGTCGCCGCCTATCGTCTGTTCAAGATTTCAGAAGCCGTACACTCGGGACACTACACACGCTATATGGGCAGGATCGTATTGTAAGGGGATTCATCGGGGTGACCACCCGTATACATCGTGATGCCAGACGAGCAGTGCTTGCGGGTGGCTTGTGGGCAAATATTACGGGGGAAGTTCGAGAATATAACGGGAAGAAGTTGCGCAATGAAGACAGATTGTTGGAAGAAGAGAGGAGAGGGGGGAAGAGAGGGGGGGCGTCCGCCTCAGGGCCAAATAAACGATGAATGTCCGAGAATTGTCTCAAATACACTCACTGCACGAGATGGAATACAAAAATTTAGATAACCGCCATGCTTTTCTTCTGTCACGCACACCCGTCGTACACCTACTAACCTGAGGGTAGAGGAGTGGCCTCCGAATCGTCTTCCCTCGCCCGCAAAGAGTCTCGCCAAGCTCTTTCCTCACCGACGGCAAGAAGAGAAAGAGGACAATCAACCAGCGATATTTGTGATAACATTCGAAGTGGTGGAGACTATGTTTGGGGTCCTCTCGGAGTATCCGCGGTATTTCTGTGGTGCATGTAGTCGGCCTTGTTCTGTTGTACACGGAGGAGGGCGAAGGGTGCAGGGGACCCTTACCATCCCTTTGAGTAATTCCTGTCCCCCAGTATCCAGAGTACTGCCCAGTCCATCCTGCTTACTTGAATATGTTTCATTTAGCCCTCACGTATGGTCGTGCCACCAAACGCAACTCCCCTTTTGACTTATGAAATCGTTAAATATCTTGAACTACACTCGTGACACAGTCAGACGACACCCCTCGGTAAGGCTCGATGACTCTAGTTTCGAAGGCGTCGTGTGTTGGCATGCGAAAGATTGCGCCGCACAACAGCACCAAGCCCACATGGGAGGGGCACGGAGAGAAAGCGTCATATCCACGCTGTTGAAAAAAACGATAAACTCATTTCCGGCAAAGGTGGTTGTTATTTCTGCCATTTTAAACTAAAAAACAGACACGCCATTGCACCTGATCGCCGGGAAATTTCCACGTTGGCGAGCATCTGCAGGTGGGAATGCCTGTGCGCCTCCTCGCGCATCATTGACAGTCTGTTGTTTGTCTTGCCGGCGCCTCCCCCGCTCCCACTTCCTTCACCGTCGAACTCCGCATCTCTGCGGACCAGAATTTGACTGGATGGGGTAGCCGGAACTTCGACCCCGAAGCGACAGCCGGTCGAAACTTTGGAGGGTACCGTGGGCCGGTAGATTCGCGGGTCTGGGTCATGGACGAAAGGCGCGGCTCCTTCTCTTCTAGGCTGTGGGTATTCCACACACAGGCATGGCGCATCAAGGCAAACGAAAGACGCAGAACCAACAGAAGGACAGGAGCGTAGTAGTACCTTTGGTGAGCACATGACAGTGGGCGCCTGAAATTCCCGAGTTGTCTCGCTCCCGAGGATCGAGCGGCACACTGGAGAGGGCGGTTGGGGGCGATGAAATTTCTGTGGACTTCTGTTGATGCGTGCTACTGCACTCAAGTGTATGATCTGCTTGCCATCAGCCGCAAAGTTCGAAGAACCCGTCCTCTCTCTTTATTTTACCTGGAGAAGCGAAGGAGTCGGGGGGTTTTATAAGAAGACGATAATAACCTACAGACCAACGGGGTTGCGGTTGTTTGTAGATTCGTGTGTACAGACGGATGAAGATGGATGAGCCCCGGAGTCATTGAAACTGAAGCCCCTCGCGAAATTTTCGTGTTCAAATTTGAACGACATCACCCTCTCAGTATTTTTGTCTACACTTGTCTCCTATATTCCTGATCGGTATTCTCATTTTCTCAGCAACGATCCGCACGTCTTACACGTCGTCGTCATGCTGCACTTGCCCTGTACCGCCTGGACTGGAATTCCTGCGTGAACAATAACCCAGTCCCGGTTTACCTTGTCCGCCAAAGAAGGTGCTCCGAAGTCCTTCACTACCCATCCTACATCTCGCCTATCCTTGTCGAACAACCGGCAGTCGAACCACGGTGGCTTGGTGTTCTTCCTGCCGAATCCTTCCCAGTGATACGACGGGGCGGGTCTCTTGTGGTGCTGGTTGAGGCGATGGCCACTTGAAGGGCGGCCTTGCAGATGCATACTCCTACAGACGGGTAAGGTTCCGCCTCAACTCGAGCCAGGGATGCGAGTCTTATGGCTGGGTGCGTCGTCGCTCATACCTCGCTGCGTGTCGCGAGAGTGGCGAGATTCTACATACGGTAGTCAAGCCGGTGCTCGACGCCGAAGAGGTACATTTGTCTCAGGCAGAACCACATTGAAGTTAGACCGCATCTCGTTCCATGATTTTGTACGGCTCTCTCGTCCGCTCTCGCCGTGACATCACTACCAACCAGGCTGGTTTGGTTTCAGGTGAGCATCCCGGAGGCATGGGCGTGATTGCTCATGTAGTTGAGGGTTTGTACATGAGGATCTCGTGCGACTGTGGGGTCTACTCTGTTCTTACCGCACAAAGCGAACGTCACACGGCGGTGGCATCGTCATGTCGTGTGCGGTCGGCAGGAGAGCAAAGTGGCATGCTGCGGCGGTAGCAGTCTACATGTAAGCTCTGCGTTCCCGCCGACACTCTCCAAGGAGGCATGGGGAGTCTGATGGGTATCCGCCGACTGTTGTGGAGAGCTGTGCTATCTCCATTTCTAGCAAGCTTTCCTCTCTGAGCGGCACATCTTTCCGATCGTGTAAACGACATGACACACCACAAGCTGTCAGCAAGTTCAACGTGCTATGTACCGTCATGCTCTTTCCGTAGGCCCAGAGCCATGCCATGTACTTATCCTGACCCAGCCATATCATGTTTGCGTTTCGCATAAGGGACAGGCACGGAAGCATTTTTTTGTGCCACCACCTGCATCCTGCACATTACAGCCATCTCGTCCACATGTGTCAAGAAAGGTGATCGCCTCTGTCGAAAACATGAAGTTCCATTACGCCCTAAACTCGTGCAGCCTCCCCATAAAAAAATTACTTCCAACCACCCAGGTGCTAAGACTGGTGCTAAGGCTGGTGTCGACGCTAGAAACCACACTGCCGTGGTTGAGCTTATTTCACCGGCCATCGACACAATGGACCAAGCCAAGTTCGAGGACGAGATGAGAGCGCTGGCCGTGTGCGTCAAGTGCCTCGACGAGACGAAGCCGAGGGCGAGCCTGAAGTGGTGCACCGGCTGCCGCATGGTTCTGTACTGCTCTCCGGAGCACCAGAAGGGTCACTGGCAGGACCACAAAGCTTTCTGCAAGGCTAGAAAGTGAGCGAGAAGATGTTGTGTTGGAACAGACGGCGGTTGATCGTGCTTGCTTCCGGAAACGGCCGGGATATGCGGGAACAGGTGGAACACGTTTGCACAGCATAGCCGCGAGGAGAGAAGTGATGTAAAGGCTTCGTGGGCGTGGCTTTCGTGGCGAGCTTGGCGTGGTGCTTCTTCCCCATCCCAAAATAACAAAATAGCGGAACAGGGAACCGTGCGGGCAGGTCATACTACAACGTAAGCTAAACAAGACACAACTTTGTCCCAACACAATATACAACACTTCGACTCACCCCGCTGGGCACTCCGCGCCCCCCCTCCCGCAGGAAACTGGCCGGAGCGTTCCCGGTCAGCCGTGATAGTTGGGTCCCGCCGCTGTCGTCCCCTCACGGTGGTGCCGGTATCGCGAAGCGGGAGTGCGAGGTGTACGTCTCCGTGTGCGACGCGACGGGAGTGTTTTCCATCCTCGGCATGTTCTGGAAGGAGGACGAGAAGGACCGGGCGAGCAGCAGCAGCAGGCTTTGCAGCTTGATGGTCCAGTTGGGCAAGGTGGGGGGATTTGGTTTCGCCGGACGGGGAGACGCCCGCGTGTGTGCGAGTCCATTCGTTGGGCCCAACCCACATGCCGTCTAACGAAGTAGGGCAGACGGCCTGGGATCGATGCCCACATGTCCACGGGTAGTTTGTATTATGCACGTGTCCCGGGAGGGTAGTGAGTGAGATGCGGGGACACACGCACGGGCCGTTTCACCATAAGCAGCAGCAGGCGCTGCAACTTGACAATGATAGCAAGCTGGGGAAGGTCAGCGAATAATCAATCGGACGGGGTTAAAAAAAGGCCGCTTTGTTTTGCCGAGTGTATCGGTTTCACGAGACTCTGTTGAAACAATCAACGATCCTCAGCAGGGTGTAATCATCGCGGCCTGGCCACCGCTTGAAATTTTCCACATTCACGAAACAGCTCTGCTCGGCCATGCTACCGCCACCATCGGTGCCACCGCTCCAATAAATAATGACAACGCTACCGACACCACTGCAACGCGCCACACCGATGTCTTGGCCGGCGCGAGACCATCTGCACGAGACTACCCTACAGACCTATCCCCCCCCCCCCCCCCACCCGCCGCAGGGCCCAGTAGCTTGCCTGGAGTCGAAACTCCAAGACTGGGAGCCGCGCACCCGTTGGGCCGCCCTCAAGACCCTCACCGTGCAGGGGAGTGCCGACTACGTGCGGGTCACACGAGCGATGGCCGCGTCTTTGACGAGGAGGGCCTTGGAAGACGCCAGGAGGCCTGGTAACGAGGAGAATAAGACGGGAGGAGCAAAGGTGAAGTTCTGGCGACGTTGGTGTCGTGATGAAGAGCACGACCACGGGTTTTTACCTTTTTTTTTTCGTGTGTGCGCGCTGAACAGTTCATGCATGTCCATGGTGGCGAACGAAACCCGGTCAGACTTTGTGGGTACCGTTGAGCTCGCGCTGGCCTTGCGCTGCATACCTCGAACAATACCGACTTACCTAACACGACACACGAGGTTTCAACAACACCCCACGGTTCCTTCAGTTCCCGCTACCCCCCCCGATTTTGCATTATCCCTCGACCCTAGGGTTCCTTCCCCGGAAAGTTCGACTCGGCAGCCGCTTACTTCCTCGACTACGAAGGCAAGGCGGGGGAGGGGGGAGGGGTCGATAGCTGCGGCCTGGAGGAGTACCTGAATTCGGAGGCGCACGGTGAGTTGTGTGGGTTGAATTGTGGGTTTGCATCGAACGCTACTGGTTTCGCCCGCTGCTGCGTGCGATTGTGTGTGCGTTTTTTTGTGAGGGTGTACTTTGTTTTTGTTGCGCCGTCCGCGTCAACTCGCTGGCCAATCAAATCACACCGATGTCACGCGGGATAAAAACGGACGTGGTGGTCCCATTCGTATTGACAGTGCTTTGCTGTGTACGTGCTCGTTTCAAGAACATCGATCGCGCTACAACCGACTGACCTATTCACGATCGTCAGGCTCAAGCGCTTACCTGCGGTTGGCTGTCTTGTTCTTTTGTACTCTGGAGTCCAAATTTTACAACGCGTGCATGAACGATTGCGTAATGCGTGCATGGCCGATTGCACAACGCGTGCGTGAACGGTTGCACACCTCTGTGCCTTCTCCTATTGGCCATCTCTCGTAGAGCAAGCCGATATCAAACCTGGATCCCCACCCACCCCGGAACCGTTCGCCCGCCCCCCGTCGGTCTACTCCTTCTGAGCCTCCTGATCTCCTTTCAGAAAACCTCCTAACGCTGGCCCTATATCTGTATCCCTAACTCGAAATTCACCAGCTTCCTTCAAGCGGACCCTCCTGGAGTGCTGTGACGGCGGTAACTCTCTAGACGTGTTCTTCTTCGGCCTTCTCAACGAGCGGCGAGAGTTCAGGCATGTCGTCGTCATATCGAGCAGATGGTGTACTGTTCTCCGTTTTGCGGGTGAATTGGCCATGAAGACGAGCACTCCTGACCTCAACCCTCATCTCATGGAGCTAGGAAACGTTCATGCTATCAGTGGATACCACCTCACCAGCAAGGAATGTGCCAAGCAGAAGGGATGCTAGGAGTTGGACACCCACTGCCATTGCCGCAGTGGGCCTACGTTTACAGATACTACAACTCCGCCATCTAGAATCACACTGACTTACACCGTCTTACGGACAAGTGTTAGCCGGTGCGTCTCATCTTTGCTGAGTCTATTATCAATGAAAACATGAAGGGGTGTTCCAGGTGACCCTTATGTAAGCGGGTCCTTGGCGCCGTTGTAAGAGGGGACCGGGAGAAAGGTCGCCATTTTTTTTGCCCATTTTGCCTACCCCCCCCCCGCCTGAGATCGACCTTGTCCGAGCCGCTGTTTCGCTGCCCGTGTCATGTAACGACCAGGGACTGCTATTCATTTCTGGAGGGCATGGCGGAGCTCGGCGGAGCAGAGAACTTTGAGGATGCCCTTGAAAAGCTGGCAAGGCAGGGGGAAGCGGGCGGTAGAAGTGATAGCAACACCAACGGCAGGGCCACTGCCAAGCTGTGCGAGCACGCGTGCCTCTGCTTCCACCTCGCAGGGCTACCGGGGGCAGCATCGGCGATGCACATAGCCAAGGAGAGCTGCGAGGAGGTGGGTGGGAGCCATGTGCTCATCGCGTGTTTCGAAGCATTGCGTCCTTGTTCTGCTTTTTTTGTTATTGACGGATTTGCACGCGGATGCATGCGGTCGCTCTTCGAAAAGCGCGTAGACGGCATGTTAGTCGGAGTATCCAACAAAGGACTTAACAGTCGGGATTTAGAAGCCTCGCTCGCTTCGATGTTGCCAGGCTCTTGCTTGTTGGCGCTGTTGCCGGATATTTCAGAACGATGTCGTGGGACAACACCCGGGGGATGGGGCATAGTTGGACAGAGGTATGCATAGAAGGGATATTTTCCACAGTGTTGGCAGTTCAACGGTAGCCGGAGATGCGCCGACCAGCCGCAGCAGCGAATCTCGTTTCGAAACCCCCAAGAGGTAGCGACACAGTGTTCAACAACAGCAGCATGGCTTACTACCCATATTGCGTGGCGTGCACCGCTTCGCACGTTGTTCGTGCCCACGATCGTCTCGTGCCCACGATCGTCTCGTGCCCACGATCGTCTCCACCCCCATCTCGTTTCTTGCCCGGCGTTGCCTTGCCTTGGTTCCCCAGGACTTCGCATCTAGCCCGTTCGTCAGGGCAATGATGTACCGAACCGCCTACCGCAACTCGAAAGGGGAGGAGGTGCCTTCCCCCAAGCCGGAGCTGTCGGAGCGATACACGGACATGGTGATGAAGCCGCTCCAACACGCCCAGGCACGCCAGCATTTTTTGTTTTTCGTTCGTTTCTTTTGTCGTTGGTGCATCGTGCTCAGCTCCTGCTCGCCCGTCGTGTATCTTCGCCTACGCCGTTCAGCACGCGTTGAACGCTACGTCCGGTCGGAGCAGTAGGCTTGAGAGGGGTCGAGGTTAGTGAGGTCGATTGCACCAACCGAGCAAGGGCAATGCCGTAGGTTATGGAAGATACCACACCCCTTGAAACGATTTCCATAGCCCGATTACTCCACGACGAAGATTTTATCGCATCCAAGTTTTGCGTTTCGGGAAGCTCCCGACAAGACGGTTCCAACGCCTCAGGCCGGTTTCGGAACCGTTTCTGCGGCAGATTACAACCGAGGTTTCAAAACCGGTCCAGCGGGGGTGGTGGTACATGCAACGTACGGTATGCACATCTGCTTGGTAGAAAAGCGATCAATCCGATAGGTTGTGTGATATACTTGTACATAACTTAGGTGCTACTTCAAGTATTTGTTCATCTCTGTGATGTGTGCTTTGATGTCGGGTGAGAACCAAAGCAAAATAATACTGTAGAAACATTAGACCGTGAGGATTTTCCCATCGGTTCTTCCCTCTCCTCATATTCGTGCATCACTGGCTTCTCTACTTTCTGTGCGTGTGATTGATTATGTGGTTTGCTTCCCACTCGTTTTCTCGCAAAAGGGCGCTCGTAAGGTTTCCGGGTGTCACCGCAATTCAGAGGTAATTTCGTCGAGAATACCTACCGCTGCCGCCGCTGCTGTGGAGTTGTTGACGTGGCGTGCCCTACCTAACACGTTCACTTCTCCCCATGCCCCCCACTTGCTGCTTCCACCAACGCTGACATGTTTCTGTGGCTGTTCGCAGGAAGCGACAGGGCAGCACCTAGCACAGCTCACCCCGGTGTCGGTAGAGATCAAGGCTCTGCTCGAACAAGAGATTCTCCTCTAGGGGGAAGCTTGGGAGAAGACTGTCTGCTGTGATAGATGGATGTAACGATCACATTTAGAAGCGCCGGCCTCGCCTGGGGCTCTTACTATCGCTCGAGAATACGGAGAATCCAGTGATTCTTTGGAGAGTGGTCTGTGCGCAGTGTACTAATGTAGATGGCGAGGCATGTGGTGGACTCGGGAGTCATGTCTTCGTGGAAAAGCACGTGGTTGAAAAGGTGGCTTCAAGTAGACCGGCTAGACCGAAGAATTTTACCCTCTTCGCTTGAAAAGAGATGATTGAACCGTCATAGCAGGTACCACCCGTATTTCTATTGCACGGCATTTCGGAGGCGGGTGCACCCCTACTTTTTTTAAACGCTATGTACCGATCTCAGCCAGGATCACCCTCCTTCGAGTGAGTTGCTTGCCCTGTCTGGAGTATGTCCAACCATGGTTATCTCGAACTCAAGAAGACTGTGACGTACCACAGTTGTAAAATTCCTTGTGTGGGTACCAGACAACGTTCAACGCATGGAGTAAGACATCTGCCACCTTCATTGGGTGACTTTGTGTGAATGCGAATTAGGCTACTTCGTTACAGCAAAAATAGATGCAAGTTATTAATGAATTGGTTATAATTCCATGGGCTCTACCTTCCCGTGCATTCAGGCAGAGAATACCCCGCAGGCGCGGGCATGCAGGCGGAAAAACAAACAAATAAAGACGTTTTCGCAACAGCCCGAGCCCACTGCTGTGATGTGCGTTCAACGGGCAAGAGGACAAGAGATAAAGGTTGTTCGCCTAACGAACCATGATGGTCCCGCCTCTGAGTTACACTGCTGTGTCATTCTGCTCTCAGTAAAGTAGAGATGTTGCTTCAAGGGACGAGGGTATAGACTCACACCATACACTACTGTAGCATGTACATATATGAGGCGCGCGAAGGAAGAGCCTCGAGCTTTTTCTTATGCCGATATGGACTTGGTTGGGGCGTGGGTTCGGAGGCCGAAGTATATATGTAGGCGCTACATTTACCGTCTGCCAATCAATTGTGGTGGGTGGAAACGTGGAAACTACAACGTAGGTGTGCGTGCGTGAAATAAGAGATGATGGTTGTGGGTACACCGTTGGTTGGCGCGTAGACAATGTATTGTACGAAGTTCCTCCGGAAAACAGAGGAGATGCGTCACAACCCATACCACGGCAAATTCGGTGTATTGGCGTCATGCTTTGTTCCGGAGAGGTGCTCGTGCTAACGCCCATGACGATGTACTTGCAGCATGTGGACTTTCGGGATCTCGGGGCAACGAGTTGTTCCGGCAGAATTTTCCCGCATTTTCGACGAATATCCACGGATTGTTGTGTGTACATGTACTGATTCTCCTACCTTACCCTTCTTTTCCTCCTTCCAGCCATACATTCAATGCACTGCTGCACAGTTCTCTGCGGAGGCGCGGGGCATGAGCCGGTGTCCTACAACAGTCCGGTACAGAGTGAATGATTGGGGGCTCACAGACTGCACAAAGATACATCGACATGGGTACCAGCAAGTTGCTTCGAATGATTTCGCGTCGCGCCCAGATTTCTCCTCAAAGTGCTGTTCAACTTGCCACCACCTGCCTGCCACCCCACTGATGACTGGCGGCTCTGTCTGATCTCCCCCGCCCTAGCACTCCCTCTGGCTACGTTCACACAACCACAGAGCTCAGGCACCAGAAGAAGAGGTCCAGAACTGGAAGTAGGAACGCGTGCGATATAGAGCGTAGGGTTCGTTGTGTTGTTGCTTTCCTCTTCGAGCGCATACGAACATCATGGGCACCGCAGAGCAGAACACCGACAATGCCCCCATTGCCTTCGTGCTGGTCATCTGCGCCGGGCTGTCGACGGCCATCGGAGCGGCGGTCGTCTTCAACCAGAAGCTGGTGAGTGTCGTGTTGACTATATGTGTTCTCTCGGAGCTGCCACTACCTGGGGATCTCCCTTTTCCAACCACTGCTCAGTAGATTCCCGTAGATTCCTGTTTGTTGGATTGTTCTCTCGTCTCAACCTATCTATGTAAGCCCACGAAAATACACCGCTGGGTATATACGTGCTCCCTACACTCCGTCCACACACACATGGAGGAGGGCGCAGCTCGTACCGTGTGCAGGTTTCCGTCCTCTTGGTGGGAAAATACTGCGCTATTTCTCTCGGTCCATGAATGCCACGCACCACGCACAGCAGCCCGGCTTGGTTCGGCGCGTTGGTTTCAGCGCGTCTTGTGTAGCACACGCGGTATATGTCCCTCCGTGACCCGCCAGGAGTGCGATAAGCCGGTACAAGACACATTTGAAGTACAATGTAGGTTGTCTCGGTGTGTCTCACGGGAAAAACAGGTTGTGGTAGCTTGCTCGGACCGGAACATTTCACCCCGACATTCACACATGCGAAAAAACGGCATACGATCTCTGCAGCCATGCTGCAGTGTTATCGCTGTCTGCTGCGTCTTGAGATTCCGTGTCGTCGGTGGCCGTGCAATGGACCACGGGTTGGAGCAAACGGCACTACTACTTTGGTAGTGCTATGAGCGCTGATTTGAAGTGAAGACAAAAAACAAAAAAAAAGCTGCTGCGTTGTTCTTGGGTGAATAAGGGTAGGGTACATGTTGATGGATATTCCCCCCAGCGAGAGATGCTGAATCTAGAGGGAGAGAGACAGTGCCCGTGGACATGTAGACAGCAGCAGCACCAACAGCTTTTGTGCGTACATAGCCGTCGACTCTGTTGCCAGTTGGCAACCAACCCTAAAACCTCGCAGCGCACTCGGTGTGCGCCCACGGATACATGGCGAAGATCCGAAAATACCCGCAGCTTTCTTGAAAGACTGAATGGTTCAAACCTGAGCCTAGAAGAACAAGATCGAATCGCTCTTTTGTAGGTATCGTGTGGTGGAGGATGAACAGTTGGGTGGGTATTGCCATTGGGGCGTAGTTTGCGCTTTTCATCACGCGTCAGTCCGTGAAATTACTGCGTGGGACTGCTGTTTGTGTTTCAAGACCAGTCGAAGTATCGCACGAACAAATATCGGGCGGGTACAGCAGTTTTTGCGCGCATGTACCCAACAACCGCCGTTGCTGACTGCTGTAACGAGGGAGAAACATGTAAGCTTCTCCCGCGACTTCTGTACCCCCTTTGTTTTATTCCGGTCCCCAACACGCGAGGCACCACCGTCTCACCCGTCGGAAAGATGAACGAACGAACGAACTATCTGGAGGCAACCAGCAGTGAACGCGATTTAGTTTTATCAAACAAACACTCTGTAGCGCATGCAATAGATACATTCACGGCGTGTACTTTGTACTTCTTGTCAGTATACTGCTGTGAAAAGAAGGGTAATGTACATCGCCCTTGTCGCCGTTGACACGGGGGGGGCGACCGTTTTTCACGTCATGCCCACATTTTAAGGAAAAATAAGTACACGCCCAGAAGTACTACAGTACCCATTCGAGATATACCCACGGTCGAACGGGATGTGGTGAAGTCTTTTCGGTGAGTGGAGGAAAACCGGCTGGGTACTAGACTTATTTCGAGTCTTTTTTAGTCTGAGCTGCCAGCTGGTGCCAAGTACAAAAACATCCGTGTAGGTAACTTGCATTTTACAATACTTCCCCTGTAGTTCTCTACTGGGTCAACGACAAAATATCGGGGAGAATCCCTCCGTTGTGCCGTGTGTTGTAAAATCCCCACATTTTGCCCCAGGCCCTCCCCGTTTTTCCGAAAAATTGTTGGTAGTTGTTCGTAACCTATGCAATAGTTAAAAGGGGACCACGGGTAGAAGTCTTTTACGGTGAACGGGAAAACACGTTTCGTTGGTGCAGCTACATGACGCTGAGAAGCGAAGGCTGCACACCCTATTTTCAGTGGCAGAGAAGGGCACAACGTCTTGCACACTGTAGGAATTCTTCCGGTCTGCGCCGCTGCTGGCGTCTCTTGCCGGACTTTTCGTCCTCGGAATCTTGAATCTTTTGGTGCAGCACCCACCTGTTGAACGCATGTAAATTCTTTTTTGGGGGACATTGTAATTTTCCGTTAACTGGATTGCACAGCAGATGCCATATACGCGTGTTTTAATAGGAAATTCACATGAAAATAGCCTACCCGTTCGAGACATGACCACAGCTGTCGAAGGGGCTGGGTTCAAGTCTCTTCAGCGAATGGGGGAAAGGGTTTTATGTTTTGGTGTCAACTCGGAGAAGGGTATGTCCCGAACGCCTCAGGAGCAGTCCCTTCACCCCCCGCCCCGAAGGATGACCGCCCGACTCGCTCGCCACGAATGCTATGGCCATTCCCGGTCATGAACGCACAGCAGTGGCAGGTCGGATCTGCACACCTTTTGTGGTACGAAACAGGGACCTTCGTCCCATGATTTGTCGGATATCCACATCCAAAGAACCTGTTGAGATATAACACAGCCAAAGGATACAAGTTCGTTTTTTGTTTTTTTGCTGCTACGCTCCCGTGCGTGGCCCAAGTTTTGCTTCGCACGGTTGCCCTTTTGCCCATGCCGGTCTTTTCTTACCCCCGGGTGCTGCTTGTTTACGTCGTTCCGCTTTCGCGTGCCGCGAACATGTTGTACTTGTATGCAATTGCTAGTGCCCCCCTCAACGGTTACCTCCTCGCACGACGACACGCAGGTCAAGCTAGCCAGCAAGCGGTTTCTGGCGGGATCGCTCGGCTTGGCAGCCGGTGTAATGCTCTACGTATCGCTGGTGGAGATCTTCGTCAAGTCGCAAGACTCCTTCGCCAATCACGGCTTTTCTGAGGTAGGTACACTCGCCTTTCTTTTTTTTTATGCTTTGTCGTCAAGTCGAAACGTGTGTCAACTTGCTACATGTAAGCTGGAACGACCGCTACGTTTTTTTAGCGCCAGTTTTTTTTTTTGCTGACATGGACCGGTGAGTGTAGCCACTTTTGTGGTCCACCGGAGCATTTCTGGTCCAACACATGTGTGTTTTTCATGACTTCGACCGTTTCCGCATGGTTCGTATGGCATTTGTTTGTTTGTTTCCGTATTTCCTCTCTGCTTCTGTCATCGTCAGTCCAACCTAGCCAGCTGGCACGGCCGAAACACACGCCCCAACATCCGACTAGACGCTAGGCCCCGTACATGCTTTCGGGCGCAGGACTTGAGCCAAACCCGCTTTGTGTGGTCTACTATTTAGAACGCTTCGGCACGTGCTGCGGAGATGTAGTGACAGTCTTGCTTTCACGCAACATACAAACTAGGGGTTACAGATGTCGATTCGTGTGGTGCGGGCAGCCGAAGGGGAGATACTGTTTATACGTGTATCGCCCGTCCACGAACAGTGTAAAGATTGGTGGGCACATTGCCACCTCGCCATGTCGCACTCTGATGGGCAATCGTTTGCGATATTTTGCACCGCGGAAATGTTTGGTCTGGAGACTGGAGACGTGCCCGAAGGTTCGGAAAAAATGACACTTTATGCCCTGGCGGCCCTGGTGGTGTTGCGGGGATCGAAATTGGAAGTCTTTTGAACCGATCGCTCACTGCCGTCCCCCAGTCACGACGTTAATCCCTGTCCCTTTTTTCTCTGTTCCGTGTGTTGTTCAGCACCCTTATTGAGCCTATACATACCACAGCAGCCGCCCTGTCTGCTTTAACGTTTGGCATTATCACCCCCGAGGTCCGTCCTTCCTCCGCTCAACCCCTCCCCCCTGATGACCGAACGCCTCCCTGCCCCAGGCTGACTCGTACCTCTACGCTACGCTGAGCCTGTTCGGGGGCGTCCTCCTGTACAAGGGCATTGACCTGGTGGTGCACCTGCTTGAGGGGGGCCCCGTGCGTGACCACCACGTGGACATCTCCCTCTACGACCTGGACGGCTCCTCCGGCTCCTCGGAGAGCAGCCCTCGCACCGCCCCCGCGGCCACCGCTGACAAGAAAAAGAGGAAGAAATCGGCCCCGCAGCTGGGCGGCGCTAACAGCGGCAACAACCCGAACGACGGCAGGGAGCCGTTCCCGGCGGACCACAACGTCGTCGTCGAGCTCGCGTCCCGGGGCTCGGCCGTGCGCCCCTCCCCCGACCTCAACACGCTCCAGCTCAGCATGGCGGGCAAGGTCCAGGCGCAGCAGCCCTCCCCGGTGTCGGAGCTGACGCCCTCGGGAGGCGGCAACAGCAACAACAAGACCGGCGTGGTGGGCTTCATGGAGGAAGGTTCCGGGGTCGATCAGATGGAAGAGGCTCCCTCGGCGGCGGCGGCGGCCGCGGCCGCGGCCCCGTCGGGGACTGTGCAGAGCGAGCGCGGAACGCCGGCCGTAGCGGACGGCGACAACGAGAAGCTGGTGCGCATGGGCCTGCTCACCGCGGTTGCGATCGGCATCCACAACTTCCCGGAAGGGCTCGCGACATTCGTGGCGGCGCTGTCGGACCCTTCGGTGGGACTCGCGCTCGCGGTGGCCATCGGCATCCACAACATCCCGGAGGGCCTGTGCGTGGCGATCCCGGTCTACTACGCGACCGGCAACCGCTGGAAGGCCTTCGGGTGGGCGCTGCTGTCCGGGGTGAGCGAGCCCATCGGGGCCGGCCTGGGCTGGCTTATCCTGAAGGACATCATGAGCGAGCTGGTGTACGGGCTGCTGTTCGGCGTGGTTGCCGGCATGATGGTGAACATCACGATCCACGAGCTGATCCCGACGGCAGTGCGGTACGACCCCACCGACAAGGTCACCACGAACTCGATCATCGCCGGCATGGCCATCATGGCCCTGAGCCTCACCCTCTTCTTGTACTAAGGGAAATACAACGGGGGAGGGGATCGGGAGAGAGAGGCAGAGAGAGAGAGAGAGAGAGAGAGAGAGAGAGAGAGAGAGAGAGAGACGAGGAGGGTGGGGAGGAAAGACGCTGCAGGAGGGAAAGTGTAGAACAGGCGGCGGCGAGCAAGTGGTTGGTGTCCTGCCGGTTTTAGACGCTGCTGTGGGTGTTTTTTACCCCTACACTGCGTGTGCTACTCCACCGCCGTTCAAACAGCTTTTTCTCTGGGTGGCGATGGACGTGGGGGAAGACAGAGCGATCGATGCGCGTCGGTTGGGACGAATCAGCCTTGAGCATCGATTCGATTTTGCCAACCGTAATAGAGTTTTTTTTTTTTTAACACTTGGTGGGTGAGTGTTTGCCTGGGGAACGATGGTGTGTCAACAGCGCTCGTTCAGAAGAAAAATGTTTTGCGGTGGTGGGGGGTCTTTTTTGTTCGAGCGGAAGTGTTTTGATGGTCGTTTGGACGTTTGTCGTGGGGAAGTGCGGGTTTGGCATGTAGCGCATTTGTGTGTGGTAGCGACTTTTCCGTAAACTGTCCTTCATTGATATCATCACTGCAGGGTCCTCGTTGTCAGCCATGATGATTCGCAGCGGCGCGTGGGTGTCAGGTTTTTTTTGTTTTCATGTATGCATATGTTTTGGTGGAATAATGTATGCTTGTTAGATGCAGTGTGTTTGACCGTTTCTCGCTTGGACTTGGATCAGTTCCCCTCCACGCCCAATAGACCGGAAGGCGCTTTTCTTCGCCTATGGCCGCCGTCGAAGGAAAGCTGGTCCGCCTCGCAGCGCGCAGTTGTATGACACATCTACAAGAAGGTCTGTTGTAAGTTGCATTCGTATAGTATTGAGCAAACCCGTGGCAGTAGCGTATTGCTCTGTTATACCACGGGAGAAACGTGCATGTGTCTTAATCCCGGTGTGGTGCTTTCTAGCCGTTTCATTCTCCCTAGAGTCAATAGCCAGGTTTAGCTCGGACCCAGGCGTCCAGTGGGGTAGGATTGAAAACGGGCACAGTTTTGACAGAAGACGTGCGTAGGGAGGAGTTTTTTGTCAACATATGCATTCCAGCAGCTGTTTTGCGGAAACCGTTCTCTTACTCGACGAGAATTGGCGTCGTCGTTTCCGTGATGCGCCGGAGCCACGGTTTAGCGTTGTGGTTGGAAATAAGGATAGCCTTTGGTGCCATGCCAACTACTTGACGGCAGCAATCAAAATACCATCCAACAATTTTTGAATGGGCAATGCCGTTCATTTGTGAACAGCAGTGCCGCGCAGAAAGTTATAGACACGCGTTGTGCCCGATCGTGAGTGGGATGCTTGTTCGTCCCATTGCAACTTTCTAGATCGCGGCATCATGCTTAAGAGACCCATGCACAGAGACAAGAGAGAGATGGTGCAAGTGGACTGTATCGGCTGGTTGCCTCTGCCCTCCCGCTCCTGGAATTCACTGGAATTAATTCAATTAGCCGGCGCATTTCGAGGGGTCGGAGCGAAAAACGTGATGGCCGCCGGCAGAAATCTGGAAGGACCTGAGGCATGCCCAACCGCTCATGGCAGCAGTATGAAATATCAGCTCTCTCTGCCAGGCCCCTTGTGGCTTCAATACTTTAGTTGTAAGTGGTTTGAAACTTGATTCACTAAAAAAGGGCTGGCTCACAAGGAAAGATTCCCTTCGAATAGTGCTCGCTAGATAGATAGGGCCAAGGTGGACCGCGAGGACATCCCTTACTAGGGAGAAGTGCGTTTTCGATGCGTCAACACGACCTCTGAACATGTTGGACAAAAATGTGAACCACTGCAACTGCCCGGTGGTCGGTAGACTGTACCGTAGATCCGACTCATTCTGTCGAAGAGCGTTTTTCGCCCCATGGATAGTTGGCGAAAGGTGGGATTGAAAGCGAAAGAGAATGAGGAGATGATCGCCGGCAGGAAACGCTGTGGGTTGGCACGGTGCTATGGAACAGTTTCTAGTTGGAGCCTGCTAGGCTCGCGATTAGCCATATCGTGTTTCAGTGGTGGTGCCTCGCAATGCTGCCCGAGGCCAGCAGCACCCGCTACTGATCGCTAGCCTGCGGCAGTTTCTGGAGCAACATTGATCTTAGACGCGAAACGAGACGGATGAAACGTCTTGACACGATGGGGGGCAGCTTCAAACCCTTTGATACTGCAGCATTGGACTCAACATAGGTTGATCATCAAAGCTCTTCAGTGAACATAAATCCACATGCAGGCTCGCGCGCGGATGATCATAGGCCCCCATAGATGGGTCTGTCTACGGACATTTTCGTGAACGGGTGGGTGCGGTGAAGGATCCGTGAAAGCACGCATCCTGCAATTGACGGACACAAGAGAGCCTCACGAGGTATCAGAGCACACAGACAGCGGCCTCACAACAAGACGTCCCTTCACCATCAAACCACCCAGAAGAAGCTCCCGTCAGTGACGTCATCCGCGGGTGAGCTAATGATCCTCTGTCGTCTCTGGGCGTTTCTTTCGTGCCGTGGCTGATGATGATGCGCTCGGCGGGTAACATATCATGAAAATCGATCCTATGCCTCCGTTTCCCCCACCGGCTCGGCCGTCACAGGCGACCGCAGGGCTACACCGCAGGAAAGCGCCTTCATCTCTGAACTCATTCGGAGAGTATCGGGCGTGGTTTGAGACAACGTAGCTTATTGTCCCTCTGAAGTATCGTGCACTTTCCTTTTTCTCTCTCTGTCGTACTCCGGAAATTTCGGAGGGTTGGGCAGAAAATGAAAAATGTGAAGTACGGGGGGGGAGGGGGGGGGCACGAGCGGCGGATATCAAACATTCCCGGTCACTGAATTTCCTCGCCAGGCTGAGTGTCTGCACACTTCCGACCTTTCCGACAGGACTACTTCTGGACTGGCTACATAACTGCAGATACGTGCTGCTTCTGCTCCTCTTTTATCTGCGGGTCAAGTTGCGACTCGACCCCGGACATTCCACAGCAAACATCTCAGGTGTGTACCAGGTTCGTTTGAAACTTCTGGCCGCCTGTGCCAGAAACGCAAGCAAACTTGTCCAACTAATCTCCTAACACTCTTTGCTAACGCTCTTCTACGCTATTGGCAACAACGAAAGACGACACGGCGACACGAAGCCCAACAGTGAGAGAGAGAGAGAACGAGCGAGAGAGAGAGAGAGTGTTAGATATACTCGCAGCAGTATCTGGTCGTGAGGATCCCAGGGGGATACGTGTTGGGAATTTCGTGTGTTGCAGGGTACCATCGGTGCGGTCACGGGGACCCTTTTGGCGTGGTTGGTGCGATGAAGCTTGCGTGCGTGCTGCGCTCACTTCTTCCTCTCTCTCTCCACCACCACCACCGTCTCTCTCCAATCAAGTTTCCTTCTCCCACTCTCTCTCCAACTCTCTCTCAATCTCTCTCTCTCGGCCTAACACGGCCGACTACCCAGTGCCCCAAGTAACGTCCAGAACGTGCTTGCTGCACCCCGCGTAGTTTACCTTTCACACTAGTGCGATATCACGGTATCTGCGCGCGGGCGTAGCCATCCGGGGGTTGTGCATTCACGCGCAATCGGTAGACTCCCACAACACCAAACACCATGGAGGACATCGACCTCTCCGCCCTCAGCGGGGAAGAGCTACAACAAAAAGTGGGAGAAGGAAACTTGATTGGAGAGAGACGGTGGTGGTGGTGGAGAGAGAGAGGAAGAAGTGAGCGCAGCACGCACGCAAGCTTCATCGCACCAACCACGCCAAAAGGGTCCCCGTGACCGCACCGATGGTACCCTGCAACACACGAAATTCCCAACACGTATCCCCCTGGGATCCTCACGACCAGATACTGCTGCGAGTATATCTAACAGAGAGAGAGAGTAAAATGGAGCAGAACGTTATCCAAGAAAACGTCCAGTATGTAATCATCTGGTCGCCAACCTAACCGTGTCTGCTCTCATCTACCTATAGAGCATCCCCGGATCACTTGTCAGATTCCTCTGAAGAACATGACCATCGAACCGTCTTGTTGAGCCTGGTACCCACAGGTGAGATATCACTGCGCGTATTCCTCCGAGATCAGGAGTAGAGGTTCACCAACGCTGAATATATATAGTTAATTCATTACAAATTGGTTTTCCATCATTTATGGGCAATGGTGGACAGATATTAATTTGGTTTGTTCGGTGAAGGAATATCGAAAAGTTCAACCATCATGGAGCTGCCTCCTTCTGTTATGTAGGACTTCAGAAAACATCACTTACTATACACCGACTGGTGCCCCGCTCTACTGACGCCCATTAGGTCCACGACTTTCTGTCTGTGCGAAAAGAGAGAATAGTGTACGTGGGTAAATAACGCCGGAATAACTGCTACTCTAGAGTCCATATTATGTAGAACGGCGCCGGCGTGAATTCGTTGTCCTGCTGACCCTTATCTATCTGCGGACCGAAATATCAATTTGTTCATAGGAAGAAGTTGAGATCAACATCTGAACAGCTCATTCGGTCGGAAATTCCATCTCCCTCCAACTGTCAGTCACACTTTGGCCGACTAAGAGCCCGCCCGCTGAGTGATAAGTACAGTACCGTCAGGATTGGCTGGACAACTGCTTTAGAGACGTGCCGCTACTGCTTCTCTTTATAGCTTTTGCCTGTGCGAACGGAGCAAGCACTCTAGACATACTGGTAACAGGCCGACATAGAATTTGAATAACGACCGTACGTACGACCCGTACGACCGATCACGGCATATTTGTCCGAGCAAACATAGTTTCCGTTCTGTGGATAAAGAGGCGAAAAATATATACGTTTTGTCCTGAGAAATCGAAAAACACCAAAAGTGGTGCCTCATCCGGTCAGAAGTCATCTCTCTCAATGTTTCAGTCACATACCATACCTGCCTGACTGGTGCCCCACCACTGGGCCTCTGCATGCATGCGCGCCTCTGCCTGCCCGAATAGATCGTTCACTCTACTGTTGTTCATGGGCAACGGGGCCGGAATAAATGAAAGTGAATAGCAAAGACTGTGAAATAGTTGCATTTTTTCACGAATGGGTTTCGTGATGGTTTCTATGCATGAAACATCATGAATTTGCCTTCCAATAATATATTTGGATCAACAAACAGTGTGGGAAAAAACTTAACGTTCTTTTGTTCAGCAGCACCCAGCCATCTGATGCCCCTTGAAGGATGGACGTGAACATAGTATTGATTCGAATATCAACTCTTGTGCAATATTGCCCATCGTATGTTATGACACTGATTGTGAATAGAAATGAATGTACTTTCCGTATACTAATTTCCGGTATTGTACCAACGGGTACACAAGCGCAGCGCCTCATAGGGCCAGAAGAAATATCTCGCTATACGGTTCACCAGGCCCACTGATGAACCCCCCATGACTGATACCAACTACTGGATGTTGTACCTCTGCCTGCTCAAACAGAGCGATCGATCAATCCAAATGGATTGGCAACGGGTGAATGTCCTCTTTGGTGGAGTCCAGAGAGAGGGATTTCCTTTGAAGCAAAATATTGACGTTGGTTTTATGATCAACGTCTACATGTAGAGTGGTGCCTAATTCCTCCGTGGAATTACGCGATCGATCCATGTCGAAAAGCCGGAATTGAAACTGAGAACCTAACCTCTAGCACTAACCTGTTATCCTGGACTCGACTCATGTCGGAAAATAGATAGGGCGACAGTCTCCCCGATCACGCGGGCGATGAAAACGTGTATGATGTTGCGACCAAAAAGGATCGGTGAGGTTCAGGTGGAAAGTTGCTGGGTGTTTGGAGCTCCGTTCATTCTCTCTGCCAGAACGGCCCATGGAGCCGTTCATTCCCAAAGCATTCACTTGCAGGACTTGTCTCGCAAAGCGACCACGAAAGCAAGCTGGAAACTTGGTATTTCTCATACAGTGAAAATCAGACTTTCTCTTACTACAGTGTGAAACGCTCCGCCAGCATACCATCCGTAGACGAAGGCACTTCAAAGGAATCACCGGAACGCGTTATGAAGCGCTGATATGAATAATCGAGAACAGTATTTGTGATGAAATCCTTGAACCAGAGATATCGCCCCAAAGAACAAGCACGAACCCATTATTATCGCTGAAGGACTACCAGGATGTTCGACTGTCTCACAGCAAGGGGCCCACGACGCTGCCGCACCCAAACGCAATGTCCATTAAACAAGCCTTAGCTACCCAATAAAGCCCCGTGCATGGTTCTAGAACAAACAATGTGGGTGATGGTAACTCTCACCGACACCGTTGCGACATCGGAAAAAACACGTCGAGTTGTATCTCCCTTGCTTGGTGAGGCGCCCCCATGAGCCAACGTGCACATGCAGGCTATGTCGCCTATATGCACATTCATTGGCCAGGCCAACGAAGCCCCACGCGCAGGTAGAAAAAGCCTTCTTGAAGCCCTTTGAGAGTCCTCCCATCGTCCGATTCTTGTTGGGTTCGATTCACCTACAGTTGTTTCTCCCGCCCGACTTCCTTACCAACCTATCGCCCCCCACTTTTTGCGTGCGTACTCGCGTGATTCCGGGCAGTGTCTGTCACAAACCACCACCATGCTGTGCGACAGTAAGATCAAGGCCGTGGTGGACAACGTCAAGGACTGTCACTGCCAACTGATCGTGCATGGCACGCGCTTCATTCTAGACGGCATGGCCACATCAAGCCCTCTTCTCCACCCTGCAGGGGCTTCCACTCTTGCGGGCGGGATCGAAACGCCGTTTGTAGCCGCTGCGCCCAGGGCCGGTACTCCTTCATTGGGGAGCTGAAGGGCCGCCAATCTTTTTCGACCAGAACCCCATCCTCAAGCACGTTCATTTGGTTAACCCGTATGAGCGTAAGGATGTGCCTGCCTTTTGCCTTGTCCAAGACAAAGAGAGGAGAGACAAAGCGGCAAACGTCAACAAAGCGACGGGACGACAACCCCCGTAGACCTGGTGCTTTGGCACGTGGGTCAATGCACCCTGGATCTGCAGGCCGACACGCTCTTTACTGAGACCACAGTCACCAACGCCCTTGCCCGGGAATTCGTCCTCAACGCGGCCAAGACGATGCTGTTCAATGAACTCGATCTCTATCTCGACGAGGGACAATCAGACGACTGGTTCGATGAAGACAGCGACCCGCAAATCGTATCCTTCACGGATCGCCTCAAAGCCAAAATCGACGGGCTATTGACGGAGGCCCGATCGGCGCCGGATGCCTTCTCCCGCGCCCCACCGATGTTCTCGAGGGAAGTGGAGGACGGCTTGCGCGAGGCCATCGCGAAAGATGATCGCGATGATTCGGAGTGGGAGGAGCACCAACGATCCCTTCCGGCGAAGGAAGAAGCTTTTGCTGCTGCATTGGCCGCTGCCACTGTCACCGGGGGGCCCACCCCAGCCCGGCCGAGCACAGGGATGATGATAAATACTGACCCAGCTTCGGCTACTGAGCTGGACGCGTCGCCGCCTGTAGTCCTCCGCCCCTTCGAGGACCTCTACTCGGTGTCCAACGAGACCGAAATCATGACTATTTTCGAGAAGACGATCGAGAAACGATTGCTCCCTCTGCCCCGGGTACGAGGTATGGTTCGAGCACAGAGAGGGAGGAGGATCCAAGCACGAGTACGAGATGGACTGCAGGGCAAATCACTGCTAAATGGCGGATACCATATTGAATATATCAGTGATTCAGACGTCGGCGAAGTGGAGGCCGATGGCCGAGATTCGTCTGGCAATCGTCTTCTCAGCAAAGCCTGTTCGCTACGAATTCCTTGACTCTTGTATTGCATGCGTAGTTGGCGGGACTTGGAATTCGACCGGAGCGTGTTTGAAAGGAAGCAAGAACTGATCGCCCACTTTCGCTCGGCATTTTGGGGTCTATTTGGCACAAACCGAGCGATGAACTTTCAGTCCAAAAGGTGGAGATCTTGTTTTATTACAGACGAGAGAGTGAAAACCATCGTGTGCACACCAGTTCGTTCACGATAAGTAGTAGATTTCCTTCTCTTATTATTCTTAGAACGCCACTCCTACTGCCCAACACCGACGGGCGAGGAAGTACTGGCGGCTTTTGTCGCCATGATGTTGGTGGCAATCTGACGAGGATACGCAGGGCTGGAAGCAAAAATAACGATGTCTGCCGATGTTCGTTTGTCCCCGACCGCTCATGGCATCCGTGCGTGCGATCGAGGGAGAAGGGCAGGGGGAGAGGTAGCGAAAGAGAATAACAGAACGAGAGATGGAGTGATAGAGAGAGAGAGAGAGAGAGAGAGAGAGAGAGAGAGAGAGAGAGAGAGCGCGATTGAATTAGGGAGGGACAAGAGCATTAGAGAGACAGAATGAAAGAGGGACAGAGAGAGAGACACACACACACACACAAACACACACAGACAGAGAGAGGGAAGTTCACTTTCGTCTTCGGGATGTTCTTTATGGTGTCAACTAATATTTTGTGTGCGCGTGGACCTACTGAAGCTATACTGGACGGTAGACAAAACCTTGTTCGATATGTGTGGGCGTACCAACCAGGGTGTACATGTATGTGCGCCCCGGTTCTTCTGCAGTGCTGCCTTGAGTTATTTTCTCGACCAGGATTCAACCGTCCCCATGGTTTGCGGAACACGAAGTAGATGATATGCAAGCGCGACACGTGTCAAGCTGTTGTATGTCCGTGATGATTTGGAAACTTCGAACTTCGGAGCTTGTGCCTTGGGTTCTCCGGCCCAGCACGCCATCATCATGCCCGTCATGTGTTTCGGAGCATCAACTACGATGTCCTTCGAATGCCTGTGTTAAACGTTTCGTGTTGGGTGTTTTTCCCTCACTTATTTGTTGTTCGTTGAATATTTCACCCTTGGCTTGCCCTCGGCAATTTCAAATTAGTTGGCAGCGGCGGTATATTTTTTACAGTAATCCCGCCTCTGATCGATCCGGTCTCTGGTGTCCTGGCCAGATGTCATTCTGTTGCGAGAGAAAGTCAATTTTTCGCTATTGTATTTGAGAAATACATGTGTTAGGCTGTGCCGTATTCGTTGCAGTGGAAGATAACGTGCAAGTGCATAATTTGGGGATGGGTTGCTCTGTTGTACCAACGGAACGGCCAACATCATCTCCGCCCCATTGGAGAAAATAGAAAGAGATCGAAACACCTGCATATTCCCGATGTAAATCTCGCCGCACCATTGGGAGGGGGACAATTCTTCCCCGTATTTCATCCATATCATCCACGGGCCGATATGAGCTCAGAATATAATGTGCTATTATATGAAGGTATCGGTGTTTCCGATACACTGTGGATCCATTGCGCTAGATGTTGATCATTATCTACATATATTAATATTTTAGTGAAATCTTATCGCTCTCTAGCTATCCACAAGTAACCACAGCATATATATTTCTTTGCCACTGCCGAGAAAGACCGCTGGATCTTTACGCAGTCCACCTTTCGCATTTATTTATCATTTTTCACCGAACGACGCAGGACGGGTCGACCTTCATCATCATTGTTGTTGTTGTTGTTGTTGTTGTTGTTGTTGTCTTCACATGAAAAACCGTTCCGATCTCTCTCTACCCAGTAACTTCATATGTCCGCACTTACTTGTGGATTACCTGTTGGAAATTGGGGGAAACCCTTCATTCCGAGAGAGCCACAGGTCGGCATCCGGCCTTTTCTTTTTTTGTATGCACTTTTCTTACATATGATGCACTTTTCTTCCTGTGAAGTTTTGACGTTGCGCTTGCCATCGTCGCTGAAGTGTTTGTGCCTTCAAACCTTCTCAGCCGGCCTTCAAAGTTCTTGCTTGTGTTGATAAGTCTCCGTGGTAACTTCTCCGCGCATGAGTCATATGCAGTTATGACCTGCGCTTTGACTTTCACGATGGGTATTTTACCTCTCTCTTTGTCTTACATTGGTGAGTACCTGCGTTATACGGAAGGATCGTTCCACGACGCAAACGTCGACGTCTCCGGTTTTTTTTTTTGTTCCCTCCGCACTCCTTCCTTGCGGCGGTTTTCACACCGACTTCGAACGTGGGGTGCAATTTCCTCTCTTCGTACCTTCCTCGTCGGCCTCCTCCATCGTTATGTACATAATGTATATCTCGATTTTTCGGCTTTTCGATTCCGATAGAGACAAGACTACGAACTGACATTTCCCTTTCACCCCCGACGGGACCACGCGCTCGTCGAGTGCAGAAATTCTTCACCACTTCCTTGCCTCTCCCAACACCGTCCCTTCTTCCCGCCCCAACAAATCTTCTCCCCTTCTTCTTCTTCTTTCCTCCCTCCCGGACACTCACCACCATCCGTCCTGGATGTTGGCCCCCAGCCCCATTGGGGGGCGGGGGGGGAATCCTTAACCCTAGTACACGATGCTCTTCATATAGAAAAGCTGCAGCGATTCAAACCAGCACGACATTCTGCGAATGGCTTTTTGGATGAAGGTGGTATTTTCGTACGGTGTTGTGTAGACCTGTGGTTGGTTGCTGTGAAAGCCGGGCCGCCGGGGGGAATCGAAAGCATCAGATCGATGTAAGTAAGTCTACAAACCTTGCCGAGGGACCACAGAGGATCGAGAATTCACTGGCTGATAACGTCACCATCACGGGGGCTGCAATAACTCGGTGGTACATGGGGGTGGTTGAGGTTGAAGGGGCGTCGTGTTCTGAAGCCACTGTGTGCTCAATTTCCTCCTGAGGCTTTAGATTCTCCGTCATTCGAAGAACGGGTGTTCCTACGGACACATCCACGGAGGTCTATCATATTCCCCGCCCGTGCCTGCGGATGGGCCACGTGGATTGGTGTGCACCGACGCGCATGCCCTGAGTACTCAGTTTCTTTTTTACCAATACATAAGCCTCAAGTGGAGGTCTACCCTGTCGTATCAGGGAGTTTCGCTGATGCCCCCCCATTGTGTCAAGATGTTTGAGCATCGCCGCCGGACACAGTTACGTTGCCTCATGAGATGTGTTTGGTCACCCCCGAGGAAATCTGGCGATTCTTTCATACCTTCGACCGTACATCTCTGTGTGTTTGGTATCACCTGTCGGCATAGACTATGTTTGACGCAATTGCCACAAAGTCATGCTCCAAAACAAAATCGTTTGTGCAAATATCGATTGAATCGGATCGTCCGTGTTGTCGAGAAGTTGTCTCAGGAGCAGAGTGTGGCCAGAGGCGCTGATCCATGATCCTTGATCTCAAGACCATCGGAGTAGAGACCCGATCGATCAGGGGGGTAGCTTATTCGCTGCTGCTGCCAACCTATTCGGAATCATCGAGACAGATCAACCATGAAATATGCAGCAAATAAGGGGAAAACATTTAACACGGAGACAGGTATTTCAAAGACACCGCAATAGAGATCTTGCTCCTGAAATTCCTGCTGATGCATCGATAACATGGCCGATATGATTGTGGCATGCTGGATCGAAGAACCAAAGGTACTCCACATTATGCCCATACAACAGTGGCAAATAAAACTCTGTAGTACGAGCACAACTATCTACTTCATCTTCGACAATACACGGGAACGGTTGATCCTTCTCGAGATAAGAATTCAAGGAGAGCGCTGCAAAACGCCGTGGGCATTCGACCCTGGTTGGTGCGTCCACACACATCCAAAAAGTGTAGCCAAACGTCCAGCATAGCTATAATAGGTTCACTCTTCCACTTGTCCACAAACTAGCTGACAACCACATACATTTCACACGACGAAAACGGAATCCTCTAGACACAGGCGACCTTTTCCCTCTCTCGGCCTCTCTATTTCTCTCTCGCTCTCTCTATCCCTATTTCTCTCTCTCTCTCTCTCTCTCTCTCTCTCTCTCTCTCTCTCTCTCTCTCTCTCTCTCTCTGTCTGTCTCTCCCCCCCCCCCTTCTTTGTTTTAATATAAGGATTGTGTCTTACTTTGCGATCGACTGGACGAAATATATCAAAGGGTGGTGGTTAGATGCAAGAACAACACGTGCTAGATGCAAGATACAACGAGGCGTTTCTCAGGGGAAATGAGCCGACCCCAAGGAATAGGGGTCATGTCGAGCCAGGAGGAGATTGAGTCCTCTCGCTCTCTCCTCTTCGATTCCCCTACCCGAAGCGACCGGCGAAAATACACTAGCTGACTACCTGCTGGGGTGCCGCTTGGTTGCATGTGTACCACCAGCTGGAACGTCGGTGGTCATTACGAAAATACTACATCAAATGGCAAAAGCAGCGGCTTCAGTACCCCGTGCACAGGTTAAGGTCCCAAGCACCCGCCGACCCATAGAATGGTAAGCTAATGTGCCGTTACTTCTGTTCAGGTGCCGGGCGAATCCGTCGGAGTTGCAGCGCTCCGATAAAACCTCCATGGTGCACCGCATATGCGGGTCCAACAATGCACCCACCGCGTCGCGGCGTTACGAAAAACCGGTTGAATGTCCATTTAACAACCCGTAGACGAAACACCAACGAGGAACAAAAGGCCGTGGGTTCCGAGGCAGTACTCTCCGGTCAACTATACCCCCCACTCCCGATCTCGTCAGCTGTAGGGAATCGTTCCAGTCTCGAGAGAGACGCTAACTTCGGTGAAAGAAACGGCATTCCACATACGATTGCCAACGATTGATCATGACCGTCTTCCCCTTCCCCTTTCCCTCCCACTTCCGACATTCCCTAGTTGATCCGCGAAAACAGTTGGTGATGCCTCGCCCCGCCATGGGAAGCCACGGTCTCGCGTCTCTCCAACAGCACACTACTAGCGTGCCCCTGTTTCCTGCATACTCCAGACGTGAAATTTTCGAAACAACGCCCATCATGCTTTTAGGGCAATCTCTGGCGAGGAAGCACACCCGGAGGTGCCGTATTTACCAACCTGGGGGCATTGATCAGCGCCTCTTACGGAATTGATGCCGGTGCCCTCGCCGACGAGATGCGACGATGGTGTGAGCTTTCCCGAGACTCCATTTCCACTGGCGAACTTCTCGAAGTACATTTTCAAGCCGGTGAGATAGATGAGGCTGGAATCGGGCAGGGGTTGGGAGAAGGGCAGAGTGCCCGAATCGGGCGTGGTTAGGGAGGGGTTGGGAGAAGGCAGAGCGCAATCCTTTTTCTTCGGGTACCTCAACACCCGTTTTGATCGCCGCACATTTTCTCGGCTCCGTGCGGCGCGAACTACTGTAACCGTTTCTATGTTCGTTGCGATAAAGGTCAAGAACACACGGAACCTTCCGCATTTCCGGTCAACTTGAATCTCGAAAACGTTGAGAAGGCGACCAGGTTGGTTGAACGAGTGCGGCTGTCAGAAGACACTAAAGCGGAGATCAGCCAGGTGAATACCGTGAAATCAGCAACAGCACAACACCACCACCACCAACAACAACAACAACAACAACAACAATTGCAGCAGGATACGCGGTATTTCGAGTTTTCCCGCGGTAATCAGGCCCTGAGGGGCGGAAATAGCCGTGGATTCTGGAGCTTGTCGGTGAGGAGGTTAGCGCAAACCTAGGATGCAAACGGCGGGAAAACAATGATTATCACAACGCCAGTGCCATAAAGTAGTACGGTACAGCGGCGCTGAGATAGTTCGAGTGCCGGAGGTCACCGGAGCAGTGCGGCTACGTCAAGTGAAGCTGCACCTTGGACGAAAGTCGTAAGTCATGTATAAATCTGGCCCAACCCCCCTCAAAAGATGGACTCACCACGAGCATTCAACCGCGACAGGAAAAAAAACTGCCCAAAGTCCGAAGTGCACGTAGTAGATCATCAACGTCGCCAGTCCCGTGATGTAGATAGCCTGTGGGTGCGAGAATGGCGCGAGTCCCGGTGAGATTAGTACCGAAACAACGCCGTCAGCTTGTGCAATAATACAGCGGTTCATCGGGTACTTTCCGTTGCGTGGTCATCGGGCACAAAGCCCACCCCAGGTTTCTATTCCGTATCCCCGTACGGGTTTGGGTTGTCTACCGAAGACAGACCTATTATAGCACCCGGGGCCGCACAAATTGGTGCCCTTTGCTGCGGAACAAGATAGTGAAACTTATCTCGACCACCCAGCAGGGCTTGGTGTTGCATCGAACAACACGTCTTGGGCAAGTTCTCGCTATCGCAACTTTCTTCCCAGGACCGCCCTGTTTGACATAGCAACCTGTCGTTTATTCATTGCGCCTGGCGAAGCAACACCTATTTGGCTATTGGTATTGTCTGTAATTGTTGTTGTTGCTGTTGTTGTTGTTGTTGTTGTTGTTCCGATGTCGCTGCCGTTGTGTCGTGTTTATTATGTTGACACCGAAACGGCAAATGTATCAATCTCCTCTTCTTCACATACGGATGGCGCCAGCACTTAAGAACCGCTTAGCTTGGCCAAGGCTCGATACTTACTGGCTCCCTCAGATCGAGCACCTGTTCTTATTTTCAAAGTTCGTATTTCGGGCAGGCATATCCGTATGATAAACGGGGTTCTTGTTCTTATTTCTACGCCTAGGGCCCCATTCAGAAGACACCGGGTGTTTTGTTTCTGAGTGGATTCACCCCGACACTTGAGAACAGCGTGTTCATAAAACAGAGAAAAATAGAACGTCGCTCAAGGTGACCTCTGGACCCCGAGTACCGCAGCTTCCGCGATCACCATATTGACGCATCTGAGCAAACATTGAACCTTTTCGAGGTCCACGAGGGTCACGTGCGGCGTGATTGTCATCCTCACTCTACTAACGCCCGTCGTATCTACACTGCGACTTTCACCCTGTTCTTCGATGGTCTGATCTCCTCCCTGCTCTACGGCGCTCCCCTCAAGCAAAGCCCACGACCCTACCACCGCACCCGCATCTCCACTGTACTTGTCCATCGGCGATTTCATGCGGTGCGTACTTTGTTCCAGCTCGAAATGCACACGATAGTCGTAAAGGCGGCGGGTAGGCTCCTGAGACTGCCGAATGATCAGCTCACCTGACCAACCCACGGCTCAGTTTAAAGAGTATTCCACGCTGCAGCAATGAACTGTCAAGAGCAGCGAGTTTAGACGTTTGAATTCGAAAACCGGTGGGCGCGACAAAGGAAGACGCGTCGGTAAGCCTTCGTCGCCCCTGCGTCGACTCGATGGCCTCCCAATCTGATTTCGTGGGCAGTTGCCACCAATGGCATGTTCTTTGATGGCCTCGAAGCACGTTTCCATCAAGAATGACACCTCTTCCTTTCAACTTTGACAGTTGGCCGAGCTCCTTCAATGTTTCAAGGGGTCAAGACATGGCTCTCGTGCATGGCACGCAGCATGGTAGGCACCCCAATGTCAAGCGGCAGGGGTATCCTGTACAAATCCTTGTGCAAAAAGCTAAGCACCTACCCCAGCCCCCCCCTCCGCACCGACCAAGGTAAAATGTGAAGGCGGCTCCGGTACGAAGGTCGGGTTCATGTAGTTGCGGAATGCCTGGTGCACAAGAAGGAGAGGAAATGGTACAGGACTGAGCTTGGAAAAATGTAATGAAGATACAGGGAGATGTTTGAGGCATGGAATAGCCAGGAGAAGACGATAGCTGTACTGGGGCGAAGAACGTGGGTTGAAGAGGCGGGAAGTGACATCTATAGGATAGATAGGCTCGGGAAACAAAAATTGAGGCACCTTCTTTGACAAAGTAGGAAGGAACGATTGGACATCGGTCTTCGGTCCTGTGGGAACAATGCTCCGCCCTCTCGAGGACGCTTGGTCAATGGCCTAGCCGCTGAGATGTGCACAAAATATTAGCACGCCCCCCCTCGCCGCTGATCTGAAACTGCCAGTGGCTGGGGTCACTGGACACCCCATGAGTCACCCCTCTCCACCTTCATGAGTTCTTATCTCTGTGCGCGTTGTTACACCACAAATACGGGTCCACGTCGGAACTCAGCACGCGTTCTTATGGCTAATTTCTCAAAGTTTTGAATTTTGGAGGCTGTACTTCTTAAGTGCTAAGTTCTTAAGTGCGAGCGCCATCTGTTGTATCCTCAAGGAAAAGAACGAGCTCAAGCGTGTGCACAAGCTTCGCCGACAACAAGGTAAAGCAACAAGACCCAACAAGAGCCAATAGAGGACCGCTATCTCCCCACCGGTATTGCCTGTAAGTAGACGAAACAAAGCATTTCGTGTCCCGTCGGAAGTGAAGGGTGCTCCACGAATCTACATAGAGATGGGAACGGCCTACCGCGCGAAGTGCTCCGAAAATCACCAACCAGCGCAAAACAAGCATGTCGCAGTGCGGAAATTGTGCACCGGCCCAGTATGGTGCTTACCATTTGGTCGAACTGGCGATCTTCATCGTGACAACCATGTCGGAATGCACCCCGTTTACCTTCGAGCATAATTCAGTGCACGCCACATACGTAGCTCCTGTCCACTGTGGACTGATCCCATATCGGCCGGTGGTGTATTTGTGTGCTATTTAATGTATGTACCGTATGCATAGGGTAAGGGTGATGGAATAGTCTAGGGTTCAACCCGGGATTTAAGG